TCATTGTGTCATACAATTTTTATAGGTAATTTGGATAGGTAGCAATATAATAAATAATTAAATGTATTAAATAGAATAATTTATTCTGACAATAAGGCAAAGTGACTTACAACCGAAAAATCATATAGTTTCCGGGAAGACTGCACAATTACATTGAATTCAACTTGCGTGCAATAGAAACTCAAAACTGCTAAGGAGGAAAAGGATAAAATATCAATCACTTCCTCCTTAAACCTTAGAAATTGCAAGGGTAAGTCTTAAAAAATTGGCTTGATGCTGACATGTCTCTGAACTTAGCGCTGTTGAACTCTATATAATTGTTTGACTGCGACTTTCGGCAGAAAAGATGTCGTAGATGATTTTAAATTTTAACCTTATCATGCAATTTTTTGTGTTTCTTTTTTAAAATTTAGAGTAATAGTTGGTTTTACATATCATTTTTTTTTTTTTTTTTTTTTTATTTTTATTTTAAAGAATTGGATTTTGGTTGGCTCAGAACAAAATCGAGGGTGGCTATTTGGTCTTTTTATCCAACCATTACAGGGGTTGAAAGTTGAAATCATTACAGGGGTGTAAGTGTTTCTTTAGAAATCTATGGGTTGTAGTTTGTTGTTAAACTGGGGTGTCAATAAAATTTCGAAAACGTCCAAGTCCAAGTTGCCGTTATAAGAATTAAAAAACATAAAAGGAGAGGTTACGGTAGCAAAGGCGGCCGGCGAGTGGTACCCCATTCTACACGTCGGCCCGCCTATGAATTGAATTCAAATGGAAATGGGCCAAATTCTCCACTCAGTCAGTCTCACCCCCACCGACTTGACCCCACTCCACTCCTTCCTCTTTTCTTCCCATTAACATTTTATTCCAGTTCATCAACCATTCTAGTTATCTTCTTCTAAATTCAAATTCTCCACTCTTCAGCTCAGGCTGGCTTGCCGATTTGTTAGATCTAAATTTTGACGAATAATTTTAGTATTTGTTCAAGATTTATTTTGTTTCTGATTAAGCGGAGGCGGATGGTGACTCTCTACAAGCGAGAAGATCATGAAGATAAAACTTCAGGTTTATCTACACCATCGGGAAAAGTACTTGTTGATAAGTTTGAAGAAGAAGTAAATTTGACGGTAGGTGAAGAAGCGGAAACCTGTACAACTCCAACTGCTAAAGAGCATAGAATTCCAGATGTGGTGACGTGTCCTCCAGCACCCCGGAAGCGAAAAGCTTCTTTCTTGAGTATCAAGAATGTCTCCAACAAGAAGTCCAAGAAGGTTGACAAGTTGTTTGTCTTCTCTGATAACGATCCAATGCCAGGGCTTCATCAAATTTCATGTAATAAGATTCCATGGAGATCCAAGAAGAAGTTTCATTAGTTGGTTTTGCAAAATAATTGCTCATGTTATATTATATAGGGAATTCTAGATTTATTAGAACAGATATTCGTTCCAAATTATATTCTGTATAAGAAAACAAATAATGTTCCTTCAGTTTTATTTACTTGTTGCCATAAGAGCAACAATTGTCCTTTATTTACATAATAAGCAACATTGCAAAGTCCATTGTAAGAGCAAGACTAACAATCAGAGCAATTCTTAATCAACAACTAACGGCAGAGATTTGGCTATCTCCAGCCAATAACCGAGTGTCCACAACATAAGCATCTTGTGTGTGACATACAATTAGCACAAAGGTTTTACAATAACGGGTAGGCCATATTGTGGTTGAAGAATAAGGCCGTCCATCGGTGTGTGTTTATACTCTGGGGAGAGCGAAAAGGAAAACTTTTGGAGTATCAATGCAATTGCCGTTTTCGTTGCCAGCATTGCGAAGTTCTGACCAATACAAACTCTTGGACCCATTCCAAAAGCAAGCATAGCATTTGGGTATTCTGTAGCTTTGGAGATCCCATTAATAAATCTGAGTGGATTGAATTCATTTGCATCTTCTCCCCAATATTTTTTACTCCTGTGAATCTTCACCATAGGTATTTCAATACATGTATCTTTTGGAATCATTAAATTCCCAATCTTCGTATCCTTTGTTGCCTGTCTGAACACCCTTATTACTGGGCAATAAAGCCTCAAAGACTCCAGCAAAACCATGTTCACCTATCAAGTCAAGTGTCCTCTTTAGTCCATTGAAGAATAATAAGCAGTACTAAACTAACAGAACGAGAAACGAAAAAGAAAACCTACCAATTTTAACTTGGCTAACATATCCGCATCAGGGATCTCCATCCCGCATTCATTTAATATTTCTTCTCTGAGTTTTGTCTGCCATTCTTGATGTACACTCAACAAGAAGACGGTCCAAGTTAAGCAATTGGCTGTGGTTTCGTGGCCTGCGAAGAAGAATGTTTTGCATTCCTCCACAATCTCATCCATGTTTAATTTGGGACCAGATCCACTTTGATCAACCATTTCTGAGTTTTCAATCATCACACCAATTAGATCATCTCCGTATCCACCTGAAGTTTTGGTATCTTTAGGAGTATTCAATCTACTCTCTATGATGTTTCTTAGTGTGCTTTTCACCTTCTTATCAAGCTTCCATACCTGAATATTGAACGGGGTGGGCAGATATCTAAAACGGACAGAAAATTCTTGTTAACCAATTAAGGGGGCTTCCCAAGTAAAAAATTCTACAACTACAAAATTTTACAAGTTAAGATGGAAGTAATTACTGGCTGCCAGGAATGAAAATGTCAGCACTTGAAGCCGCACAGAACTGTTGAAGCTCAATTTGAGCCTTGAAGGCCTCCTGCCCTTCCGCAAAGCTACTTCCAAAGGCCGTGTGGGCAATTATATCAGCAAGTAACCTTTTGAGCTCCTCATATATCTCAATCTTTTGACTAGTTTTGGTAGTCTGATTTTTCCAATTGTCAAGCATGGATATGGTACATGATGCCATTCCCTTTATCATGAGCTGATAAAGTGAAAATATTTATTATTTTATTTTTCCAAAACTGAGAGTCTGAAACTGATAGTATCATAAATATTAAACAGCTATATATATATATATATATATATTTGAATAACTAACAAAATATAAACAAATTAAAAAGAAGTTTGAGACCTTGAGCTTGTCAATGGTGAAGGCAGGATTGACTATCTTTCTGTGCCTGACCCAATCTAATCCATTGATTAAAGCCAGTCCTCTCCGGCCGGCTAGTTTTTCTGCGGAAGGCCTTGCTCTTGGTTTCTCATAGAAACCCAGCTTGTCTGATAGTACATGTTTGGCCACTCTGGGGTCTGAAATGAAAAGCCTTGGCTGGATTCCATACCAATATAGAAACGTCTCTCCTGGGGCATAAAAAGCAAACCAAAGCATCAACATAATAATGAACAAGAAAATTTATAATTATTAGTCCTTTCATTCTATCGATAAATTGAAAGTTGCTGAAACTATGAAACTGACCATATGATGACGACCAAATGTTACAGTGCGGGACAATCCTCTCGGTAATATCGTGTGATTTGACATCTAAAACTGTTTCCAGTGCAACCTTTCTCAGCTTCTTGATTTCATCAAGAGAGCCTGAAAGAAGCGAATAACGAGGTCCCATAACTCCTTGCTGTCGAAATCTTTTGGTCACCAAATAAGGCCTCCAGACGATCATCGTCCATGCTTGAAAAATTTTAGTCATAACAATAACTATGAAAGTGACTAGTATCATACCAAGATAATCCATTTTATATATCTCTACTTGTGCTGTGTTTCTGGGGTTTATAACTGAAACTGAAAGTATGCAGCTTTGCTATACAAATTAGGAAGATATGATGGGGGTATTTATGCATGCATGCCCGTGGATGAGGTCATTGCTGAGGCAAAAGAACGGAAGTTTGGCCTCCAGTTCATCGAACTGTGGCGTTACAATTTACTTTCTCTTCTTCTTGTAATCTCATACCATATGGCAAGTCATTAATGATCAGATTTTGTATAGTAAGTTGGTTGGGATAGGCATGCAGATACTAATTAATGAAAAAATTAATTACCATATATGTTGTTGATGCTTGATTTTGACACCAACGACTCACACATACAAAGTACTAACACGTGATATGAATATATGTAGCAAGAGAATAAATAAAAAATGGTTTTTAAAGTGGTTTGGATGTTAAAAAGCGAATCATACGTCCACTGTAGTTGTATTAATAGATGGTTACAGTCAGGTCATATGCAGCGAGCTGAGTTACAATCTAGAGAGAGAGTGTACGTGTGTGTGTATGATGTTTAAGACTAAAGATAAGTCAATCCCGTAAATGAGAGAGGAGCCCTCTATTTATATTGGGAGGATTCAAGGTAATAATCATGAGTCTACAGTCCAATATGTGTGGTACAATTCCTAACCCGCTTCTCATTGGTTGTCTGCATGAGAGACATCCTTAAATTCGTAGGGCTTGGATAGATGGACGATTCCTAGCCACTTGCAAGTCTGACATTCACCTGCTGCACTGAAGAGAATCATACCTCTTCTGTCATTGCGCGACGTGGAAGGGTTTAAACGACACAAAGCGTCCCTGAATTCTGATTGACTCTTACTGACGAGAGTCCATATCAGCCCTGACTTTTTACGCATAATATATATATCCATTTTAAGAAAGAGTATATTACATAAACAATATGTGCACAAAATTTTATTCACATATCATTAATGTAAAGTTTAAATGCCAAACAATGAATAATGTTATACATATATTATTGTCCATTTTAATATTTTTTTAACATGTGCTATGACATATATTTATAACTCAATTTTCTCAATTAGATTGTATAAAATATGGCAATGTAGTTGTCATTTAGAGAATCAATTTTAAAGGTTAAATTTAAAATTGTAGTTAATTATTATTTGTTGTAGTCTTCAAAGTGAAAATTCACTTATTATATGTATCAATTTTTCTTGGCTGGAATGATACGACGTCGCATAACTTGGGCTGACGGGTTTGTTTAAACTTTAAAGTAATGTACTATCCGGTCCACTCCAAAATCCAGACCCGTCGTTTCCTGGTTCGTGAGAATCCAAAAACATTGAACATTCATTCCAACTCATCATATAAGAAATCAGAAGCCAAATAATTTCCCTGAACTTCAAAATCCTTTGCCCTAAAATCTTAATAATGAGCTCCAGTTCAGTGACAGAATTCATAACGAATGAAGTCCCTGATTGGAGCGACGACGTAGTAACCTCTGCCAGATTCAAAGCGTTTAGCGGACAAAGATCTGATTGGGAACCCAAATTCCACTTTTGGAGAGATTTGATCCTCAAAATCGCTCGCCATTTCGACCTTCTAATCATTCATCCTTCCAAGGTTTTGCTTTATTTTTTGTGTTAAAGATTTTCATTTCTTGATTGTCTATTATTTACTGATTAGAAATTAATGGAAAGACTCGGTTGTTTGTTTGCTTAATTGAAGATAAAGCACGAGTGGTTTAATCGAGGGGGGCTGACACCTTTATGTCTTGACCATGTACTGGTGAGCTTCTTGCTACTTAATGGTTACTTTTGATGATCAACTTAATTAATAATAATATATGAAGCAAATAAAATTTTAAGTGTTGTAAGTTCTTTACATAATTTGTTATGCCAAGTGGCTGGACACGTCCAAAGTGGTTCTTAAACCTTATTAAGTTCAATATTGGATGCTAATATTTAAACGGAAGCTCTGTTATCCGTATTGAGGGTAGCGTTTTATGAGTTTGTTGGCAGCAGATGTTTGCATCTCAAAACATCTCTTTGTTAGGTTGTGTATATTTTATTTTGTTTTTTCATTTTCCAGTTTGTAATGTATAATGAAGGTGATATTATTCGAATTGCGGACCTTGTGGATCCAACTAGTGGGCGACTCTCCCAGCTGTTTAGGAAAGTTAGAAGTTTAATGGCTGGAACAATGATTCCTCCAGAAGTTTTGCTCAAAGGTCATGTTATTTTTGCCACACTTATGAAGGTATATATTTTGGAAATGTTTAATCTTTTTGTTTCATGAGCTTATTTCTATTTTTACTGAGGGCCCAAGTTGTTGGGACAAATGCTCTGCTGAGTTGAGTTGAGTTGGATCTTGCATTTGTATGCCTATAGTTTTGAAAAGGTGAGATGGCATGGTTAATGTCTCTTTAAGTTATGATAAATTTTATTTTCTGGATGATTAGGATAAAGCTGCTGAAGTTATCAAACGTTTATCTGAAAGTCATTGGACTTCTTTGTGCATTATTACGATGAAGAAGTTCCAGGACTTGTGTGGAGGAAAAGATGAAGCATCTGCAGTCTTGAGTTACTTGTCAGGATGTGGGAAAGCACAGTATTTGTCAATCTTTAAGAAAGACTTTATAGAGGTACTGAATATTGATCCTTTTATTTTTATAAATCATATTCTATTGTCTTAGGTACCAAATTACTTAATTGAATGGTGAAATCAAGTGAGCTTAGAACCAGCTGTCTCTTCCTTGAGTTGTTATATGCATTTCTAGATGCCAAAATTGGCCTCTCTTATCATGTTGTACTTAAAGTGCCTTGTTGCATTCTTATTTCAAGGTGTGTTATTGGATTATGGTTACAGGGTCTAAAAGTCTCCCTTTCACTGGCAGCAGTTTCCAGTATCTCAAGTTTAGATTGTGACGTTTTGCACCTGGTTTGGACAATGGAAAAGCTTCAGCAACAGCTTGATGTTACTGACAGACACTATGAGATGTAATTATTTGGTCCTCCTGATACTTGTTCAATATACTGATTTTTTTTTTTTTTTTTTTTGGTTGATGGTCTCAGCCCCATGTAAGCATGATTGTGATTGATTTTAGATAAAGACGTGTGGGAGAGCATACAGCTTTGACTTATTCTAGACATTCTAGGTAATCTTATTGCCTTTAGATTGTGGGTTCCACAGGCAACCCATGTGGATTCTAACTAGGTCCTATATCAGAGCGAACTTAATCATCAGAGGGATTGTAGAATCCCTTGTTGTAGGTTATGGTTCTCAATATAGTGCAAAATAATGTGAAGGACTATGCTTATGCAAAGTTTTACTGACATTAAATTGTAGGTCATGGGTAAATTGTATAATTTCTCTTGCTTATGTCAATGATTGATGGGATGTCAAGCACTATGCCAGCTGGTTGAGAAAATGTTACCAGCTTCTTTTTTCAAGTATGGATATTTGGAAGATTTTTGGTTGGCCTAAAGTCTGATGCAGAGACTTCTTTTGTTGTGCAGGTCTAGAAAATCAGCATTATCTTCATTGCAATCTGGAAACAAGACAGTGGCCCTGAGACATGCAAGGCAGTTAAAGTTGGCCAAAGAGAGTAGAGAGAAATGTACGTCACTTTTGAATAGAGTGGAGGAAGTGCTAAGTGTTATTGAAAATGCTGAATCTACAAAAAAGGTATTTTAGCCATGGAGAAATCTTTCTGGCTGGCTTTGGCTGTATGTCTAGGTTTCCTTGATTGTAAATAGAACTTATTTGAGCCACTAATAATTTGTCTCATCAGTCACAATAGATTATTAACAAAATGTATTTCAGTGTAGACATTCTCTAAATATCGGATTGCTTGTCTCCTGATGGCAGGTCTCTGAGGCAATCCAAATTGGAGCACAAGCAATAAAGAAAAATAAGATCAATGTGGAGGAAGTTCAAATCTGTTTAGAAGAACTTGAGCACAGCATTGATATGCAAAAGCAAGTTGAGAAAGTGCTAGGTATTTGTTTTTTCCTTTAGTTTATGTTTATGTGAGTTGTGGCCAATGCAATTGTATTTAGACCAAGGTTTTGTGATTTAGATGATTTTGTTGATTCAATCAAGTATCTTTGGCTATTGCAGAATCAGCTTCATCGGACAAAGGAATTGACGATGAAGACATTGAAGAGGAGTTCAAGAAATTAGAGTTGGAAGTTGAAAGTGAAAATTCTCAAGTTATGATCCTTAAAAATGGGGTTAATGAAGCAGAAAGAGAAACATTATCTTCAGAATCTGCCGAATCATTGAGTGTTGCATTTTCAAGTCTTGGGCTTGGGGATGGTCCTACTAGGGCGTCAGCGTCAGCATCAGCAATTCAAGCTTCTGTGGAACCATTCAGAAACAAGGAATCAGAGAATCGCATGCCTGAAGCAGCTTAGTTTTTAGACCCCCAAAATGACCGCCATAATTAATTTTCTTAGTTTCATTTGTGATATAGTTGTCAATCATGAGATGTAGTTGGCTTTCAAAGTAATTTGTACTTAACAATTCTGTTTGTACTTTGTATTCCAAAATTTATACAAGCGAAGGAATTTGATGTAAATAATGTTTTCTTCAAAAGATGTGGTTATTTTGTGGTGTTTTTTAATCTTAGATCATGTGTAGGGAAAGTGATGGAATCTTAATGGAGCGCCTTTCTCTGAGAACGACATTCGACATTAAAAACAGAGGCAGATTACACTATCAATGACTTATGTGGGATCTTTAAACTTAAAGCTCGTTTCACCCTGGTCCCATTTTTGTCATTTACTGAGCCTTTTTTATAAATGTAAATACTTTCTCGGTATATGAGATAGAAAGTCTTTCGGTTTCATATCTCCTTTTCGAGTTCAATCGTCGTTCAATTGCTGCTAAGGGCTATATTCGCCCTATCAAGCAAGGGATTCCTCGTCGGATTCTTTCAAGCCATTGCGAAAAAACAATTGGTAGAACTCCGCAACTTGTTAGGAGTAGGGGCTTTCTTGTACGCTTCTCTCCCCCCTATCCCTTAAAGCAAAGCGAAGTAAACCCTTGGGAACAAACTTTGGATCCGTTGTAAACTGATGAATTATGAACTGTCATGTCATAATTGTGAGAGAAAGTAGTTGAGGGAGGGTTGGTGTAGTATTATTCATGTTGGTATATTAGATTGCTCAAAGTAAGCGACGTTGACGTTGTAATGCCTATTGTCGTGCTCAGCCTCATCAACTTCGTACAATTGAAGTTTTAGACTGGAGAACATGCTTTACAGAAAACCAAATTTGAAGCTATCAGTAACTAAACTAGTTAACAGAGTCAGTTCCACTTTAATCCCAAACCCATTTTCCCTGACCAAAACGCATCACCACCCATATTCAGAACTCTTGTTCAATCAACAAAACATCTTTTACATTGATTTATTCTCTCAACTCAAGTCACCACCTCATGTTTTTGAAGCCAAAAGATTACATGCTATACTTATCGTCAGAGGTTTCTTTAGTCCTACCTGTACTGATAGAGTGTTGGCTCCACAGCTCGTCAATGTCTATGTTAACTATGGTTGTCTGCGAGAAGCATTTCTTGTGTTTGATAAGCTACCCAATAAGAGTAATAATATTGCTTGGAATGCTATACTTAGAGGTTTCATCGACACGGGTAAGTTTTCAAAAGCCATTGAATTTTATTACTTGATGCTTAGGGAAGGTGTGGTCCCTGATAATTTTACGTACCCACTTGTTTTAAAGGCTTGTTCTGGGTTGAATGATCTCGAACAAGGTAGGAGTATTCAAGGTCACATTCTATTAGACGACGCTAATGGTAATATGAAGCGTAACATTTACGTTGATTGTGCTATGATTAATATGTTTGCGAAGTGTGGCAGCCTGAATGAAGCAAAAAAAGTGTTTGAAGAAATGCCCAAAAGAGATTTGGTTTCTTGGAGTGCAATGATATGTGGAGCTGTGCAGAGTGCGGAGTGGTTTGAGGCATTGTGTCTGTTTAAAAGGATGAGATCCGAAGGCTTTCAGCCGGATTCAGTAATTGTGGCGACTGTTCTTCCGGCTTGTGGTAGATTGGAAGATAAGCAAATGGGAATGATCTTGCAGGGATGTGCTATAAGGAGTGGTTTGGAGAGTGATTTGTTTGTTTCGAATGCTCTTATTGATATGTATTGCAAGTGTGGTGATACACATGAAGCTCACAGAATATTTTGTGGGATGGTGTATAAGGATGTAGTCTCATGGAGCACCTTGATTACTGGTTACTCACAGATTTGTCAATACCATGAGAGCTTTAAAAGGTTTCTTGAGATGAATAGTGCAGGTATAAGGACAAATGCAATTGTTGCTGCAAGTGTTCTTCCTGCACTAGGCAAGCTCAAATTGTTAAAACAGGGGAAGGAGATGCACAACTATATTCTTAAACAAGTTTTTGAATCCGATGTTGTAGTTGGAAGTGCGTTGATAGATATGTATGCTAACTGTGGTGCAACAACAGAAGCAAAACATGTTTTTGAGGTCATGTTGGATAGTGGCATCAATATATGGAATTCCATGATTGTTGGGTATTCTTTGAATGGTGATCTTGATTCAGCATTTGAGGTATTTCGGAGAATGTGGGACTCTAAAATCAGACCAAATTACATAACACTAATGAGCATTCTTCCTATGTGTACCAAAGTGGGAAGTGTTAGACTGGGAAAAGAAATTCATGGCTATGCCACTAGAAGTGGTCTTGGTTTTATTGTAGTTTCAGTGCAAAACTCAACAATAGACATGTACTGCAAATGTGGGCACTTAGAACTTGGATTGAAGGTATTTAATAAGATGAGGGAAAAGAATATTGTGACATATAACACAATAATCTCTGCTTATGGGATTCATGGGTGTGGAAATGAGGCATTTGCACTATTTGAGGAAATGAAGACAGCAAGAATTAGTCCAAACAAAGTCACTTTTGTTTCACTTTTATCAGCTTGTAGTCATTCAGGTGTAGTTGACAAAGGTTGGTTCTTTTATAATGCCATGATAAATAACTACCATATTCTACCAGACATGGAACACTTTTCCTGCATGGTAGACCTTCTTGGCAGAGCAGGGCACCTTCATGATGCATGTAATTTCATCAGAAGAATGCCAGTGGAACCAGACATAGATGTTTTAGGAAGCTTGCTTGGGGCTTGCAAAGTCCATAATAATTTTGAGCTTGCTGAGCTTGTTGGGGATCTTATTCTCCAAAAGAATCAGAAAGATTCAGGCTACCATGTGCTCTTATCCAACATATATGCCACCACAGATAGATGGAATGACGCACTGAAGGTAAGAACAATGATGAAAAAGAAGTGTTTAATAAAGGAACCTGGAAGGAGTTGGATTGAGATTGGTTCTTGCATTCACATGTTTCAAGCTAGAGATATAACACATCCGGACTTCAGCAACATTCAGGAAATACTGAATGTCTTATTGTTAGAGATGAAGGATGAAGGATATATAACAGATTCAAATTTGTTTTCTCATGATCCTATTATTGGTGCAGATGAGTTGATCAATTTTAATGTTAGCTGAAAATCTCAATGTTATACGCAGATTGACAAATCCTTGGGCATTTTTCTTATCAGTGCTGTACAGGCTACAGGCATATGCTTTGTTGATAATGATACTGATCATCTACATTCCATTGCATCACAGTGATACTAGAGAGACCCAATTTAAAGATTTCTTCTTAGCCCTCAAATGTCGTGTTGCCGGCACCGGCAATACAATTGTAAGCGTGCATTAAAAAGTGCCTTTCAATATACTCTTACTCGCCAAGCGTAAACCACTGAGATGAATCTTAAAAGATATATACATGTTTCATCTCAAAAATTCTTGTGGTGGCGAGAAATAATTGTGCAAATATTTCCTTCACTGCTGCTAAAAGCCTGAGAGAATGTTGTTCCCATGGTAAAAATGTTTTAGAGCGGAAACCGTTAGGAAAGCAACACCAATTAAAATTTGAAAGGGTGCTTTAGGAATTGTAAATCCTCTAATCGTGGTCGACAGGCAAAACGTTCTCTCTCAAGTTTGAATTGGCCAGGCTTTCCAGAAGGATAAGATAATTGTTCCGCCACCTTCAAGTAGGCTGTAGTATGACATTGTCCTCATGTTCAACAAACAATTTATTGAACATTATGAACTGCAATCTGCCTTTATTAGTTATAGTTCAGTTTCTGCTCTAATAGAATTATGAATTCAATTGGCAGAGCTTACAGATGGCAATCTTAAACAATTTCATTCACTTGATAGATCCGATTTCTCCATTGACGATGACAACCCAGGTCCAATCATTTCTGTAACCAGAATCAGATTTTTCGGACACAGCAACCTATAATGAATGTAAAACACATCATATTGTCAAATGCCCAAAGGCTAAACTTTTACTTTATTTTTCAAATCAATCAACCAAGTCTAAAGACCATATTACTCATTGTAGATTTTACTCAAATACATGTTAAGTTTATGATTCATTATTAAAATTAATAACAGAATAAATCATAGAATAATTTTTGAAATTCTTTAAAGCTCAATTAAACTGAGATTAAGAGTCATATTAAGAAATTTTTTCTAGAATGTTAGGTCGATAATTTTACAGCTCCCTAGAACATGCAAAATTGTTATGAGCCTAAGTTTTAGATCTTGCCCTGAAGGGAGTAATGAAAAAGAGCACAAACCTAATTGGGTGAATGAATCTTTGAGGATTTAACAACTTTGCTTTTTCCCTCTTCTGGAATAATTTTGTGGATGGAATCCTTTGAATTAGATAGGGTAGCAGAAACCATGGGTTGGGTTGGGGCAGAAGCAGAAGCAGGAGAGACAGCAGGCAACCTTACAGTTGTGTTGAGAAGCCCCAAACCCAATTGTGCAGGTAATAGAGACATGGGTAACAGTTGAGGCGCGAAGCCAGGCATAGCAGTAGCTCCTGGAATCGGTGGAAATAAGAAGTGTGGTGGGAATGGGTTGCAGCCGCTACCCATCTGCATTCTTATGGGAGAAAAATGAGTCATTTGTGGGTGGAGTTGTTGCATTCCATTAGGTAACAACATTGGAGGCATGTACACCCTATTTCCCATACTCATCATCTGCATTAAATATTAAAATTATATTACTCATCTTTTTTTGGTATATCATACCCCTACATTAACTATTTGTTTGAAAATATACCTGTACTTGAAGCTGAAGATTTTTTAGATACTCAATGGCCTCATCAAGCATCGAAACTTTGTCTACCTATATATGTCTCAAACAAATATTAGCAACTAACAACAATGGTTGCTTAAGGGTTTCTGCATATGTCTGCCGTCACAAGGGTAAAAACAATAACTTGTGTTGACTACACTATCGAATGCTAACCTTATTGCAATTGGGTATGAGCTCCTGTAGTGCACGCATCTTCTTATTGATTTTATCTCTTCGCTTCTGTGTGCATAAATATTAAACCATAATTAGCTATATTATGTTTCATATTACAACATAAGCATATGTGCGGGTCTTTTTTACTGTATAAGTTCTGTATCACTCACCCTTTCAGATAAATTATGAAATTCTGCAGTTCGCTTTTCGCTATTACTTTTGATTCCAGGAAATGCTTTAGTCATACCCTTTGGTTTGCTTTTGCTTCCAGGCACTTCTTTTATCACACTCGTTGCTTTTCTCTCAATATTCTGCATCAAACTTGGACTTTCTTAGTAACATATGAAAAATAAAAACATGAAAAAAGAAAAAAAGAGAGAGAGTCGAGTCTGAGAAATTTACGTACTTGACTCGGATGATCGGCTGACCCCTCGGTATCGTCGTATCTCCTCTTTAAAGTGTATGTAGGATTATTTGAAGCTCCACGTGAGCATAACGAAGAAGATGCCACTGGTAACTCTATAGCTTTTTGAGTATTATTGAGCTTTCGCTTGGCTTGATTTGCTGCTATGTTTGAGGTTTGGCCATAAACTTGGTTGGGGGAAGCATCGTCGCGACAACAAGCTTCAGATTCGTAATCTGGGAGTGACTTATCTGAAGGCTTAGCAGCCGGTGGTAACAGCTCAATAGTCGCTTCCATTAAATTGGGTTGATAATGAAAACCCTTAACAGTTTTTGAACCATTTGCTGGAGCAATTGACATTGACTCCAAGGGGATAATGTTACTGCATGGACTAGACCTTTTACAGTTGTTATTCAAACCCTCAGCACTTGATAAAGTTGCAGGAATCGTTGTGGGCATTTTAACACCACTTCGCTGACTGTTAACTTGAAGAAGACCTGGAGATCCTAAGAAAAGAGAAAAGTTAGTCGTCGCCTTTCTCCCATCAGATTCTAAATCTTGATCCTGCAACTTTGTGACGGGGAAATCACGCATTGATCCCAGATTTTGTCTTGAATTTGTCCTTGCCCTTTTGAATGAAACTGATTCTTGGTATTGCTTATTGGAGGACTTATCAGGTTGGCCCGTCGAGGCATGTTGAGGAGTTTGAGTGAAATAATTAGAGTGACACCCCTTTTTCAAATTTGCATCTTCATGTACGGGAACAACTTGGGAGTCCTTATGAAACTTATCGTAACTATTACCTTTATTTTGTTCCAAAAACACATTAAAATGGGTTTGATACACTTCGGGTAATGATTCATGAAAGTTATCATCTTCCAGAGACTTGTTGTGAGTAAAATTCATATAAAAGCTATTCCGATCATGATAAGAGTTATCCAAGATGGAATCTAAAGTCTCAAACCCTGCCCTCTTTTGAGGAAAGGTGTCTCCGCCATTTTTAACATGTACATGAGCATTAATCGAAGAGTCATGAGAAGGATGAACGTTGATTGAGGGGCCCCTTTGAGCTCTCCTGGGCAAATCTCGCATGAGAAGTTGGCCATTTTCCCATACCAGCTCAAAAACTTCTTTATCAGACCTAAAATAATAGAAACTTAATTCATCAATGTCTTAAAAAGAAAAACACACTTAATTAGTTAGCTAAGGAGATAAAGAAAATCTCACATGGAAGTTAAATTAGCTCGCTGGGCGATTTCAGGGTTCTCTTCCATCATTGAATAAGATAAGGATAGCTCAGAAGACAGACACAAAGCTCTACTCTAGTCCGGCCTCAAGAACCCACCAGAGAGATTTGCTACTTTAATGTTACAACTGGTTTTACGGCCTATACAATATATTCTCCATGTTCATAGAAAAGACTGAAGATTAAAGAAGACAAAAGATGAGTAACCAAGAAGTAAAGGCTAAGATGTCCCCCTGTATTTAGTGTTTACCTTTAGTTGAAATATTTTTGTAATTGGCTCTCGGAAGATAAAAAAGAAATTGAAAAGAAAAAGACGAGGACGAGGACGATGAGAGATAAGAATAAGATGGCGAAATCTCAGATAGATAAAGTCATTGAAGCAAATGGATAATTCTCACAAGAGCTTATATTATTGAGTTAGGCCTATGGAGAATACTATCCTGCTGGTATCCTAGATATCCACGAATTAAGACAGCTCAATGAAAATATTTAATCAGGTGAAGCATCAACAAACTTAATTATGTAACAATGAAAAGACAGTTGATGTACGAATTCTCGTTCGCAAACCAGTATCCACAAGGGAGTGTACAAAATTCAAGCACGTCTATTTCTAATTCCTAATTTGTTATGGAGCTTAAGTGTCCACGTTTATGGTTATATACTCGTATTCCACTTGAAGACAAAATTTAACTCTAAAACTATGTAATCTTGCTGCATCCATGCATACAATCTGGAAAATCAAAGAATAGTACACCAGCGAACACACTTTATTAAGTAATCAATATATATATATCTATGGATTAAAAAGGCGTTTCGATGATATAAAAATTAAACATAATGTTGGAGAGAGAAAATAATTGAAATGAAAATAAGTGAGGAGGCGTTACACCATCGTTTTCATTATCTTGAATTTTGAAGGAGAAGCTTCTGTTGAAAATGACAGATGTAAACATTTAAAACAAGCCCAAGAAAAACAATCAAAAATACCCACGTGGATTGGGGGTCCTACCATGCTTTTGTTACTGTCTCATGGGATCCCACGTACTAACTTGTAGCTGGGATGGGACATATTACCCTTAAACTTCACCTGCCTCACTCCAAATATCATATCAAATCCTCAATTTTAGGGAGAGAATTTTTTTTAAAAAGCGTGTACTTCACGTGATGCCGTGGTTATTCACGTGATCTCGTGTTGTTCTGTCTGCACTTTTTCGCTCTAAAGTCTAAGCGACGAAACTTAACCACGCACACCCCACAGCCGGTCTTAGTAACAAACAGATAAGCTATCCCATTATTGTATTTGCCAGTTCCCCGTTAGGTGAGACTTGGGGGAGACCACTAACCACGACAATGAGAAGGAAAAAGAAGTCCACCCAATCAAGCTTAAACCCTAATATCCCAGGTCCGGAATATATGTAAACATATATAATAATTCGAAATTAAGCTCTGAAAGTGAAATTGAAAATGAAAACACCTAAATAATTAAAAGAATCTTGCGGCAATTTTTCTTTCAGCAATGTGATGAAGTAAACATCAGCTCTCCAAAAGGTTTGAAAAATGCAGTTTAGAACTGGAGTGAATGCTCGTGTGGCGACATTATATACGAGATACAGGACCAACTTGATCTGTAGCAATTACGCAATAGCCGACATGATTGAGCTACAGTGATTCAAATGTTTACGCAGCAAGTAAAAGAGACAGTGTCAACCTGGCCACTATACATAAAACGTCCTTCCCAGTTAGCAGTGGGTGGCGACACTGTCAGCCTGGAGTGTCTTAACTCCCTATACACTTAAGATTCACCAATAATCACGTCTTGCTTCATAAACAAAAAGCTCCATTTTCAAAGACAACAAAAGTTCCCATCATCCCGCGCCATCTAATTCATTTATAATCTCAGGATTCTTTACATGTGATCTAGTGTCCAAATACATTCACATAAAGTAAAAAGTGGATATGGAAAACTTGGAATTACAGACTACTTGGATAAAGCTGGCAATCTCTAAATTTTATACGCATACATCCAGGTTTAGTTGAGAGGTTAATAAGGTAATAGGAGGCTTTCTGAACTATAAAATGCGAGGTCTTACAAAGTGACCATCCTGTTTAATTCTGGCCAAACTTTCCATATTGCTTGCCAGCTGTAAAAATCATGTCAATTTAAAAAATACCTTCTTTCAGACACTCAGCTATTAAAAGTTTCAAATGGAGCCTCTTTTTCCTCGCCAACTGCAATGGATCATGAAAACAACATGAATGTCAAACAAGTGACATAAGATTCACCGCATTTACAAAAACTGATCAAAAGTCTCAAATACAATCAAAGAGATGACAGTTAATCTTAGAAGGACCAATCAATCCGATTATGAGTTGTTCAGTGGTTAAAGCTTTGCATTCGGTTTCACTTTCGAGCTTATGCAACGCCTAGAAAGTAAAACCCACTAAATGCCAGTTCAAGATTGATACACTAACCAGGTAATATCTCAAGCTCGCAAAGTTTAGGACCGGTATCTCCAAATTATATATATAACGATGCTTGTGACCAATATAAGTTATGCCCCACAAATTGGCTAATGCTTAGCACAATCACCATTTACTAGATTTATTACGCTCCGCAAAAAAGAAACTCAGCCCTAATTTTAACATACAAATAGAAAACATGCCTCATTGACGGTTGTGATTCTTCTTTGGGCATCACTGAGTTGGGTCTCAACCGCTTCTTCCAGTTGCAAGAGAAGCTTCTGGTGTGATGTTCCTGTAAATGTAAGAGACCAATTAAACAACATCATCACAAAAATTTATTTACGGTGATAGCTGCATATATATATATATATATATATCATCAAGGTAGACAGGTTAAAACAACTTACAACATGTTAAAATTTAGTTTATTATCATATGGTAGCTTCGTAAGGGTTCAAGTTTATAAACCTCTGTTGCATTAAGTGTTGCAGTGATGCAAACCAGGAAACAACCAGTCGCATGTTTTACGGAATCCAATAGATAGTTGTAAGAAATGACAGCACAGGGATAAAATTTGTCATGTAGATTAGGATAAATGCTACTACAAATGAGGAAGCGTGCACAAGTGCGGAGTGCCAGAAAATTAGTGGTGTTGACTCTTTAGGTGCCAAAATAAACAATTTTTTTCAGAACAGTCAAAAATATTTTGATTTGCTTATATTACAATTTGCTAGCACTAAGGCATTTAATGATTTATGTCACAATCTCCCATCTATTAAAATCAGTGACTAAATTGCATAGAGCCATTCATTGGTAACAATGGACTGAGTCATCGTCCAAAGACAAGCAATCATCCAAGACTACTTATGGACCACTACTCAATGGTCCACTGCAACCAATCAAAGGATTGAACCCAGGATTGTCCCATAAAATAACTAAAGCCAATTGAGAACACCTAATCAAACACAAGGCACTAGTTCATTGACAAGAATAGAAAATGTATATTCACAGTAGTAAAAGTAATCATACTTTGCTTCTTCACTGTTCCTTTCAGTTCAATCTGTTGAGCTTCCAACACTTTAAGGGTACTCGTGAAGTTCTGGAGACGATGATGAATCTCTTCCTTAAATTTTTTACATATCGACTCTAGTTGTTCTTGTTGCTCTGCAAGAGAGACAAAAACCCAAGAAAATATACGAACTTTCATTTACTAGAACCAAGGTTTAAAAAGCTCCATAGCACCATTTTGAATTGACAAGAGAATTAGCTGTATACTTAAGAAACAATGTCACCTATGGGATACCCTGGTTAAAAGTCCATATACACTAAATACATAAAATATAAATATGTATACTGCAGTGCAAGAACCACCACTAAATGAGCACTGAGTTAGGCTTCTTATCTTAATAATCAAGCATTTTTGCTTGCACCACTTATTAAAGTCATAAGAACCATTCAGTTTATACAAATCTGCTACCTTCAAATCTTGTTTCCAGGCGCTTTCTTTTTGACTTACTCACACTTGTTAGCTTCCCTCTGAAAAAACATAAAAGATCACACCTAAGTAATAAATATTTGAATAAGAAACATGTCAAATTTAAACACCTACATATCTGTTTGGATCTGAGATTCAACATCCTGCAGCTGCAAGTATATGCCCTTAGAAATGGAAGTTAAAATTTCAGAGGACTTCTTTCTAGTTTCTGAATCCATTTTCCTTCTAAAGTTGTCTAAAGTAAATGCAAATAATGTAACAGCCCTGAAATATTGTCAATTTAAAGTCAGAGTCAACCAAAATAGAACATAGTGGTTCCGAAGAAAAACATTAATTGCCTTATTTAACAAATAAAGGAAAAACCTAGCCAAGTCATCCTCTTGATTCTGTTCTGCGGTTTCCTGAAACCATTCAGTCTCTCCTAACCCTGCCCATTTGGTACAGAAAAGAGAAATAAAATGAGAAAAGATGTAGAATAAGGGATAAAATTAACTGTGGAGACGATAAGGGCATAAATCTATTGATATGTAGGTGAAGTTTGCCTTTTGGAGAGGGCAAAGGGGCACTGAATTTATCAACACTAATGCCTCCATGGCCATGGAACCTTTTCGTTGGACAATGCATGACGTTTGATTTCTCGGCAGTACCAGTTTCTGGAGAGTTCTCTTTGTGACCTGCATGTTGCCATTAAATCATACATTATGCAGCCTGATCACAGCTTATCAATTAGTTAAAAGTGGTCAATCATTTATCAGACCGATTATAAATATGCAGGTCACAGAATATGTATAAGACTGATTAGGATCCAGCATTCTAACAATAATTTCTTCAATGCCATGAGAAATTCAATTCCGTTCATATTAACAGTCAGAGGAGGAGTTATCATTGGAGAACATAACTCTGTTAGCATGAAACACGTCTGATAGGACTGAGGGAGGAGCAAGGGTAAATTGTATTTAGCAGTAAATCAAAACTCACTGACTAAAATTTCCTTAGGGACTACAATAGTCACATTCATAAGCACAAAAAATGTTTCAGATAGCTCCTGTTAATAAATGCTTATACAGTATCTCAGCTCTACCCTTCAAAATATTCACATTCAGCAATTCCAGAGTTCATAAGACGTTATATTAAGGACATAATAATAGCTGCTATACTTAAATTCAGGTCATAGATGTTGTATTACTTAAAAAATGTTTACTATAGAGCTAATGGTAACTACCTGTTACAACAAAATCCTAACAGGAATGCAGCATACACAGTAAATCAAAGAAAACTTATGGACTTCAATGAACGATTCTTGATTCCTCTGATCAGGCATCACGCCTAGTGTGCCCAAATCAAAGTTTTTACAACTTTCAAAACAGGCATTAGCCTAAACTCTAGACAAATAAAATCAACCAAACTCCTTAGAGACGTATTTCGAACCAGTTTCTCTTAAGGTTATACATGAAAGAGTGAGGAAACCAAATGAGAGAGACAGTACAAGGAAATGTTTAACAAATTCTATGGTGCTCATGTTCATAGTGGAGCTTCGTTATAAAAATATAACATAAAACTCATTATTAAATTAAAAAAATTTCCAGAACCAAGTTCAAAAAATATACTAAAAAAACCTTCAACGTGAATCCATAGATAGCAAGTTTTAGAAAAGTCGTGATTGAGCAAACATACAGTCATATATATCGATGACAGGTGAACCATCTCTAGAGCTCCTAGGATCTCCATCTTCAGATGAACACCCAGCCAGGTCATCTTCTGCACCATCAGATGGCAATTCAGCCTGACCATTTTCTGAATCACTTTTTTCCTTCACTGGAGATGCTTTTCTGGGTGGAGAATCTTTAAACTTCTCAGCATCATCCTGAAGTCTAATAAGGAAAGGCAAAGGCAGAAAGAAATATCCCAACCTAGATACTATTATGTTTATTAAACTAACACATCAAACCCTCAGAACTAAAAAGGATACAGGTGACTCTGTTTCTGCATCTGATCCAGAACAATCTGATTTTGGATTTCTCAAAGTCCTGAAGCTACGAATACTTCCCATATTATATCTTCCCTCTTCCAGTGCAGGACTGCAAATATCCTGCTCCATTTGCGCTGTTCTTGGCGTGGACCAAGGATAAGGACTAAAGATGGGGGTTTTAAATGCAAATGTTGGACTTGGGATCTCATCTGGTGGGTCAACAACATTCTTAGAAGATGATTTGCCAGATTCTTCTCGCTGGTCCCTATTTTCTGTTATAGCCGGGTTGTCAGAATCTCTCTTCTGACTCATCTTTTTTGGCTGTGGTGATTCATGAAAATCTTTTGCTGGGACTGCATTCTTTGATTTACTACAATCTTCCCTATCCTCAGGCATACAACCATGAAAACTTTCCACTTTATTACTGAGTGAAGATGTTTTTTCAGCACATGGTAATTCACAGGTATATCTTGCTTGTGGAGGCTCATCTGCATTATCCTTTCCCGAAAAGCTGATCTTACGTGGCTCAATGCTAGAACCTTTTAAGTGGCTCTTCTTTCTTGTAGACATAGAGGAGCCATAGTGGGTAGCACCATCTAACTTTGCAGACCATCCTTCTTCAAACGAGAAGATTTTCTTATTTTGATATTTCTGTTTGTAGCTAGAGGATGGACAAATTTTAGTTTTAGTTTTTGGCACTTTTGTACATTTCTTTCTTGTCAAAGAACGAGTTAATGGCCTCCTTGTCGGTTGATTTGGACTTTCAGAATCGGTTTCTATAGTGTCTGAATTCTGCCTGGGTCTGACGGGTGTATCACCAATTTGATCAACAACTTTTTTTGGCTTTAGCCTATCAGCACCTACCTCAGCAGCCTGCGGATTAGAACACTGACTTTTGGATGAAGAAACAGTTCCCAATATCTGCCAAAGCTTCATTCTCAAAGTTTCAGTTTCACCATTTCCCGGATTATCTCTTTTATCTGCTTTTACTTCTTTATCTGATGCAAGAATTTCTTGTGTAGTAGCAAATGTGAATTCTTCCGTACACTTTGAGTTTATATTCTTCCTTGCTTTCCTTTTATAGGTCATGCCATCAAATATTTTCGGATTACTCTCTCCAGGCTGTGAAATAAAGGAGTTGTTGGCAAAAAACTGAACCGAATGTGTCATTTGTGCATCCTTCAGTCCATCGATCTTTTTCTGCCTCTCACCAGCAGCTGGTCTGGTGGAAGCTTGTTTTCTGCATTTAGCCGTCTCTGAAGTTGTAGCATCTTGGTTCAGGGATCGAGTAGTTATCCATGGGTAGCTCACCTGCTCTGTAGCTTCAGTTTGTTTCTCTGCAGCGGCAGTTTTGGCACCCTCACTCTTATTGTCTGCTGCTGTAAAAATTTCTTTGAACGGAGTTATTTTTTCAGCTTTTGGAACTACAGTCTCACCTTCTTTTGCAGCTGCAGGTTTTTTCTTGGCTAATGAGTCCGTTCTAATTCCAATTGAAATCTTTCTAGATTGGCTAGCAGGATGGTAATTGCTGTTAAAACTCTGACAGTTGCTCATTCTATCCTGCAACATATTTTTGAAAATATCACATAACTTATCTTTTCAAAAGTTCACTAAGGTTGCAATCACTTGAACGGCCAGCCGTCACAATTTAATGGCCAGAGAATCTGAGTTGAATCTAAGTTCAGCAGATCCCAAAGCCAAAAACTCACCCTAATTACTGGGAAACATTTTCTCGATCTGCACAGAATCGTTACTTTTAACAGAGTCTAAATAAGCACAGCTGCAACATCACACACTAACGAAACCAAAACAAGACTACAAATTGCAGAAAACTGAGATATCGAAATAAATCCAGATATACATGCTAACGTGCAAACACACGTATAACTGCTGAGCAAGCAACATTTACAGCTTCTCAGAAATATCCAAACAAAATTATATTAAGCACAGCAAGAAGATCACGCATATAACAAAGGGGAAAAGCAAGGCTCACCAATTGGCACAGAACAATAGTTCCAAGCAAAATCCTCACACATGCATGCACAGCCAAACACATGAAACAAGATTTATAAATTAACACAACTGGGATCCCAATTAAACCCGATAATGCATATGTACAACAAGATTCAGCATAAATGATTATATCATGTCTCTTAAACCCAAAGTGCTAAATAAATAGGAATTAATAATGCAGACAAAATTGTCACAATCAACATAAATGATCTTTTATCAGTTAATGGAAGCACATATATGCTAAGTCAACGAAATATACATTAAGCTCTGAAGCAATAAAGAAAATGATTTACTGGGAAACATGTCAAATATCATTTTCTCGCAAAAATCCGCTAAGAAGCAATGAAACACCTTCCATTTTGAAATAATCTGAACCGTCGATATTTTACATGTAAATTTTGTCGCACACTAACAGACACCAGCAATTGTAACCTAAATCGTTGCATCAAAACTCAGTTTGCTGGGTGAGAAATACGAAACTAAAATGTCAAATGTCAATAACTGGATTCTGCGGTTAATAATTCTCTACCAAAACCAGCTTTATCGAACATTCTAGCTTAGCATGAGATAGGTTCGATTTCCTTTTCACAAAATTCTGGACATTTTTCTTTTAATATTCTCAGATTCCGACCAACTAAATTATCAAGGAAAAGAGGTAACTAAAGCAAAAACCCCGGCAAACTCGAAGGTCCTAGAAAAATAAATGTTGAAACAGATTTAGCTTGAATTAACATGAATTTTCTATCGAAAACAGAAACCCTAACGCATCAAATAAGAAGACACGAAAGTACTTCAAAATCCATCTCAGTCTTTCAAAATCTTGAGGAGCAGATTGGTAAAACTATGCAATTCAAGAATCAACTGCTCAAAAACAAAAGATCATATAAGATTTAAATTCAATACACAAATTCAAGTTCAGATTCCAAATAAATTGAGAAAACTTTGTATGAGATGAATTAATCAAGTTTATAAGAGAATAATTATCAAAATATTAAGCGCTTACAGTTTACTTCACACCGAAAATCGAAGAGAGATCTATTATGTAAATCATACGAGAAAAATGATCCGCAGAAGAGAAAAATAACTTTAGAGAGATCACTCTCACGAGAAGCGGAGTTTTGCTATACAAGAGAAAGGAGCGGGAAAATCAAAAGCGTTTTGAATTCTGAATAGAAACTGCCTACCAGTTCTAATATATATACGGGATGTCGATGCGCACCGCCTTTCTTGTGAATAGACAATATTGCCCTTGAGTTGATTTCAAAAAAAAAAAAATCGAACGATCCGTTAGACAAAGGGGGTGGCCCCACTCTACAGAACGGAAAATCAGAGATCATCATATTTGGTAACTTTCCTTTGACAATCAGACGGCATTTATCGTTTATACTGAATTGGTTAAAACAAAATAGTCCAGGCTACAATTACCTCTACAACATGCTTTCAAAACCCTGGATTTTCTTAAATTTTAAATACAACAATGTTTTGATATGATGATATCTCTCTACTATTAATAAAATCATTATGAAATTGAGCTGTTACAACGTCACGATTTATTAAAATGTCTATACAAAAAATAAGAGTATTCATTGATAGAAATGGGCGAACTTTAAACTGTTTACCAGGGAAGTCTATTGAAGATTTTGAAAAACTTTAATATGAGTTATAAAATTCACAAAAATGGAGACAATTAGTAATGTCTTAACTAGTTTAGATAATTAATATATTAAACTATCATTCTAAGCACATTAAATAACTCACACATATTAAACAAGCAGAGTTTGATTGAAAATAATCCGTGAAATAGGCATATACTTAATTTATAAACAATGTTTAGGAGTAGTTGAGCTTACAAGTTTTTTTTTTTTTTTTGGATAAAAAATTGATCACATCTTATGAATTTTAATTATGAACAACTTTATTTCATTGGTCATTTTAGGAATATTTTCTCTTTAATAATCTATTTTGCCAGTCAATTGTTCCCTTTATTCTCTTTCGTGAATCAGGTCTCCACATTCAAAAACTTGTACAGGGAGCAGCTACAGCCGTGTTGTTTTTAGTGAGTTTGGTCTGCTGCCATCACTAAGAAAATGTTGTTAAATTAAATACATATTTGACTTCCATTAAAACAATAAATATTAGAAATTGATCAGATTAGGGTAACAATCGGAAGGTGTGAGTTCTCACACCCAATAATTTCCCTTAAAGATAACACAAATAATATCTTCANATAAGATTTAAATTCAATACACAAATTCAAGTTCAGATTCCAAATAAATTGAGAAAACTTTGTATGAGATGAATTAATCAAGTTTATAAGAGAATAATTATCAAAATATGAAGCGCTTACAGTTTACTTCACACGGACAATCGAAGAGAGACCTAATATGTAAATCATACGAGAAAAATGATCCGCAGAAGAGAAAAATGACTTTTAGAGAGATCACTCTCACGAGAAGCGGAGTTTTGCTATACAAGAGAAAGGAGCGGGAAAATCAAAAGCGTTTTGAATTCTGAATAGAAACTTCCTACCAGTTATAATATATACGGGATGTGGATGCGCACCGCCTTTCTTGTGAATAGACAATATTGCCCTTGAGTTGATTTCAAAAAAAAAAAAATCGAACGATCCGTTAGACAAAGGGGGTGGCCCCACTCTACAGAACGGAAAATCAGAGATCATCATATTTGGTAACTTTCCTTTGACAATCAGACGGCATTTATCGTTTATACTGAATTGGTTAAAACAAAATAGTCCAGGCTACAATTACCTCTACAACATGCTTTCAAAACCCTGGATTTTCTTAAATTTTAAATACAACAATGTTTTGATATGATGATATCTCTCTACTATTAATAAAATCATTATGAAATTGAGCTGTTACAACGTCACGATTTATTAAAATGTCTATACAAAAAATAAGAGTATTCATTGATAGAAATGGGCGAACTTTAAACTGTTTACCAGGGAAGTCTATTGAAGATTTTGAAAAACTTTAATATGAGTTATAAAATTCACAAAAATGGAGACAATTAGTAATGTCTTAACTAGTTTAGATAATTAATATATTAAACTATCATTCTAAGCACATTAAATAACTCACACATATTAAACAAGCAGAGTTTGATTGAAAATAATCCGTGAAATAGGCATATACTTAATTTATAAACAATGTTTAGGAGTAGTTGAGCTTACAAGTTTTTTTTTGGATAAAAAATTGATCACATCTTATGAATTTTAATTATGAACAACTTTATTTCATTGGTCATTTTAGGAATATTTTCTCTTTAATAATCTATTTTGCCAGTCAATTGTTCCCTTTATTCTCTTTCGTGAATCAGGTCTCCACATTCAAAAACTTGTACAGGGAGCAGCTACAGCCGTGTTGTTTTTAGTGAGTTTGGTCTGCTGCCATCACTAAGAAAATGTTGTTAAATTAAATACATATTTGACTTCCATTAAAACAATAAATATTAGAAATTGATCAGATTAGGGTAACAATCGGAAGGTGTGAGTTCTCACACGCAATAATTTCCCTTAAAGATAACACAAATAATATCTTCAGCCGTTGCTTTACTTTGCCCAAGCCCAGAGAGCAGACGGTAAACAATTAACGACCTCATTTCCTTTCTGTTTGATCCCCGCCATGACCTCTCTCATGGACTTTTCACTTCTCCGTCCAACACCATCGCTATTTCCTTCTTTGTCCAAACACTCACAAACACTCCACATTCGCCGACCACTCAAACTCCGCTGCTCAATTGCCGAAGAGTCCACCATTTCTCCATCAAAGCCCAGCCCCAATCCCAATCTTAATGCTGGTGATGCAGCCACTGCGGATTGCGTTATTGTTGGAGGCGGAATTAGTGGTCTCTGCATTGCTCAGGCTCTCTCCACCGACCACCGTGATGTGGCTCCAAATGTGATCGTCACCGAGGCTAGAGATCGTGTTGGTGGCAACATCACCACCCTTGAGAGGGATGGATATCTGTGGGAAGAGGGCCCAAACAGTTTCCAGCCGTCTGATCCTATGCTCAAAATGGTGGTACGTCTTAAACCTACACTAGGGTTTTATCTTCCTCGTTATTGTTTTTGAGAATTTCTGAAACTTTGCTTTTTTGACTTGGAATGCTCATTTAGAGTGCTTATTAGCTGCGGTTTTTTGAAGTAAATTATTGAAATGCTCGTAATTTACTTGTGAAATTACTAATTAGCTGTAAGTTGAGCTGAATTTGCTGAATAACATTTCATAGTTTTAGCATAATGTCTAATTTGGTTGCAGGCGTGTGGGTCTTTTTGGCTCGATTGATGAGTGTTCACGTTAAATGATCAATGTGTTCATTGTAGGTGGATAGTGGATTGAAGGATGATTTAGTTTTGGGGGATCCTAATGCGCCAAGATTTGTATTGTGGGATGGGAAACTGAGGCCAGTACCATCAAAGCCGACGGATCTTCCTATCTTTGACTTGATGAGCATTGGTGGGAAACTAAGGGCTGGCTTTGGTGCTATTGGCATTCGGCCTCCTCCTCCAGTTTGTTCTCCTGACTTTCTCATGAGTTGATTAAAATTTTAATTATTACAAATTCATGCACCCACAATATGCTTTTTTCAATTGGGTTTCTCATATCTTAGCCTTTGACAAAGGTGACAGGGTCATGAGGAATCAGTTGAGGAGTTTGTGAGGCGTAACCTTGGTGATGAGGTTTTTGAGCGTCTCATAGAGCCATTTTGTTCAGGTGATAATTGATGGTCCATATTTTTTAAATCAAAATGCATTTTGCTCGTTTAAATTTCTGTTGTTCAACCATTACGCTGGAGAATTGGGTTCTTTATAGATGATGTTTTGAGCAGATTCTATAATAGCCCAGCCGACCTTACATATTTTGGGTATTGTTGCTTGTAGGTGTTTATGCAGGAGATCCTTCAAAGTTAAGTATGAAAGCTGCATTTGCAAAAGTTTGGAAACTAGAGCAGAATGGTGGTAGTATCATTGGTGGCACTTTCAAGGCAATCCAGGAGAAAAATAGATCTCCAAAGCAACCTCGAGATCCGTAATATTATAATGTGCATTTAGGTTCATTTTATGGTCTTTTCATGAATCTATGGTCAATGAACTGAATTAAGTAATCTTGCAGGCGCCTACCAAAACCAAAGGGCCAAACAGTTGGCTCTTTTAGGAAGGGACTTGCTATGTTGCCTGAGGCAATTTCTAAGAGGTACTTCTGTTATTGAAATCTATGTTGTTAATTATATGTATTCTCGTTGGATGGTCATTTATCAGTTTTGGTGATAATTGAAAATTCAAGTTGTCCTATATTCTTACTGTGCTCTTAAGTACTATTTGAAGGTAATAGATCTTAACCAGTTCTGTTTCTTTTGGCAGGTTAGGTAGCAAAGTTAAATTATGTTGGAAGCTTTCTGGTATCAGAAAATTGGATAATGGAGGGTATAGTTTGACCTATGAAACACCAGAAGGATTGGTTTCTGTCCGGTGCAAAAGTGTTATCATGACAGTTCCATCTTATGTTGCTAGTAGTCTGTTGCATCCTCTTTCTGTATGTTTCTTTCTTGAACCTGGTTTAAGTTGGAATTTCTTTTTACTAGTTTATATAGTGGAATGTTTGAAACTGAGTTCTGATCATCCAGTTCTTTTTTTCTCAATTTATCATAATCCTTACTGATGAAGTAAAACAATTTTGATATGAGTGTCTGTTAGTCTGTTTCCTGAAGTACTTATGTTGGCTGACAAATACTTTATGAAATTTGAATAACTTGATAGCATTAGCTCAGGTTTAGATTCTGAGAAATTTTTACAAGTGTAATTGCTTCTGATAGTGTCCATTGCAAATTTAGTTTTTTTTTTTCCTGAGAAATTTAAAATAAAAATGCATCATGTTGCAAACCAAAGTCATATCACTAAGGGCTTGTGCCAATATACACTGGCTTGTTACTGGACTGATAAAGGATTGTTTGTAGTTCTTTAAGTAGTTAGTTTGATATGAAGACTTACTAAGTATTTTTTTTACCATTTATACATTTTGTTCGCAGGTAGCTGCTGCAGATGCACTGTCACAATTTTATTACCCACCAGTTGCTGCAGTGTCCATTTCTTATCCAAAAGAAGCAATTCGGACAGAGTGCTTGATAGATGGTGAACTCAAGGGGTTCGGCCAATTGCATCCACGAAGCCAAGGGGTGGAAACTTTGGGTGAGTTTGATTGTAAGAAGAAATCCATCAGATATGTTATGAAGGTTTCATGTTAAATTAAACTTGCTGGTTTACTTTCTGCAGGAACTATATACAGCTCATCACTTTTTCCCAATCGAGCACCTGCTGGAAGGGTTTTGCTCTTGAACTACATTGGTGGTGCTACAAATCCTGGAATTTTGTCCAAGGTAAGATAATTATCAAATATGATTTGCTTTTGTTGTGAGAGATTCATCCTTGGGGTATAGTGGCAGTTTGATGGTAGGGTATGTGGACAGAAGAACACTAGCACATCTAGTAAACTATTTGGATAATACCAATAATATTTCATGATCGGATGCCAAGGTTACTTATTGAAAGGAATAGGGGCATGATTGTATAGCTGTGATATTTTGCTGGAGGAATGACTAATGTGTCTTCTGAATCATCAAGAAAGATACAAAGTAACTTGAGGTGGGAGAAAAGAGAGGCATGCTTATATATTTGGTTTGTATCATGAATGTCTACTTAACTCCATTATATCTCATCTAGGAGACATTGCATAGTTCGAATCAATAATCATTGATGGATTCAAATTTCAGATCAAGGATGTTACATTGTTACTGTTTTGACATTTGTTATGTGGGACATGAATGTATATGTTGTTCCTGTTGTCTTGGTTGAATAATGTTTACTGAAAATGAATTGACGTGTGCTTCATCTGTGTTNGGCATGATTGTATAGCTGTGATATTTTGCTGGAGGAATGACTAATGTATCTTCTAAATCATCAAGAAAGATACAAAGTAACTTGAGGTGGGAGAAAAGAGAGGCATGCTTATAAATTTGGTTTGTATCATGAATGTCTACTTAACTCCATTATATCTCATCTGGGAGACATTGCATAGTTCGAATCAATAATCATTGATGGATTCAAATTTCAGATCAAGGATGTTACATTGTTACTGTTTTGACATTTGTTATGTGGGACATGAATGTATATGTTGTTCCTGTTGTCTTGGTTGAATAATGTTTACTGAAAATGAATTGACGTGTGCTTCATCTGTGTTGGTCAATCTTTCTTGTGTTTTGTTGTTTGATGGCTGCTTTTCTATCTGGCGGTGATATTCATATAGGCAACTTTTTACCCAAGGTTTGCATTCTCTGAAGCCTTTGTTTGTTCATCGTTATTCTACTAACACCTGTTTTTCTCCTGCATGCAGACGGAGAGTGAACTTGTAGAAGCAGTTGACCGTGATTTGAGAAAGATGCTTATAAATCCTAATGCAAAGGATCCAATTGTATTAGGTGTGAGAGTGTGGCCACAAGCCATTCCCCAGTTTTTGGTTGGTCATCTTGATCTCTTAGATGCTGCAAAAGCTTCTCTTAGGGATAATGGGTTTCAAGGGCTGTTTTTGGGGGGGAATTATGTAGCTGGTGTAGCCTTGGGTCGCTGTGTGGAGGGTGCCTATGAAGTTGCAGCAGAGGTGTCCAACTTTCTGTCAAAGTATGCATACAAATAATGCTCCTACATTATGTAGAAATGTACTGAAGCGAAGTTTCCTATAAGCCATTGCGTAAACTTTTAGTTGATTATTATGCATGTAGAGCTCCTTAGTTTTAGGCATTTTTTTGGCGTTTAATTTGACGTGCAGTTTCAACTGGACAGGTTCTTAACTTTATTAGTGAGAGTGATAGCCCCAATTTTACGCGTTAGTTTTCCTAGTATCTGCGATTTTGTCGGTGTGCTGCTGGCTGGTGGAAAAAATCTGGATCCTGGTCCATCAAACAACTTATAAGCAGACCTGCGTCTTTTTTGGGTCCATGCATTACATCCTCTTGCATTCACTAGTCAACAAAGAAACAAAACCGATCTTCTATTTTTCTTTTTCTTTTTCTCTTTTCTTTCTTCTTTCGGTGTCCAGAGAAATTGAACCATCTTTTACTTTTTTTTTTTTTCCTTTTTCTGGTAATCTGACCTAAGTGGAGCCAGAGAAGAAGCTCTAAACTTCCGTCGTGTCTGCCTATAAGCTGAACCATATTTTTTACTTCTAAGTAGTGATATGAGCTGCGTTCGGACTTGCTAACTTCCTTGGACTGCCACTATGTTAACGGTGGCTGGCTGGGGCAGGGCAGTGGTAATTAGCTATATTGCGGTAGAAATTTTGTTTTATTATATAATTATTTCGGAAATAAACTTAGTAGTGCGCACTAAGTAGTGGCAACTGTGCAAGTGGAAACCCATTCGCGTCTTAAACATCGGTCCTAGAACTTTATATGAAAAGTCACACAAAAGTAAATCACGTGTAAATCTTGGTGCTGCATAATTTTCCTAAAAGCGTAATCTACATTAAAATGTGTAAAGAAATATAAATTCTAGTTGTTGGACAGAAGGCCTGTTAGCCGCCTGCTTAGAACAGTGGAGAGCACAGCACAATGTTGAGCCTAATTACTACATAATGGCTCAAAGCCTGGCGAACCCAGGGGCAGGTATGTGGACACGTAAAGGATTTGAAAAGAAGCCAATAAATTGTGGGAACAGACCTGAGGCAATTAGAAGCAGTAAGACAAAAAGTGAATAAACCAAGGCTGCAAATGGGATCTAGTCTCAATAGTAGGGCCTATTTATGGAGACATTGTTACATAGGATAATAAAAAGCTATCCTAAATTTGACCGAGGAAAAAAATGAAGAAATTATATCCAGAGTAAGTAATAGACATGATGATGGTGAAACATGAAAATGTACACAGAGAATGAAAACAATGAATGGAGGATTTAGGGCGAGGTTGTGGGTTGGAAGTTCAATACAAATAGTGTTGTAAAGACATAAAAGTCGTTGGAGGGAGAGAAAGTCCTATGATGGCCAATTCAAGCAACATTGTGGTTGGGGTAGTGGGGGACATAAACATCTTACTTTTTCTTTTTTCTTAATAATTTTATCACTATTGCAATTACAATTTGCCTTTTCTTTAGCTACAAGGAAGATTTTCTGTTCGTTATTTTACACGTGGATTGTTGTTCTTGTACACGTGTGGAAGGGATTTTGGTGGAATATTGGAGAAGAAATCAAAGAATATAATTGCACTTTATGTCTTTTCTTCTTTTTCTTGTGTTTGAAAATTTTAGTCTTATATTTGTATATCTCCAAGACAGGATCTTACATATGTACAAATAAAATATTATATTCAGGTGACATAAGTTCTCATTTGTGATGCATAAAAGACATATTATAAAAGCTGTAATCCAATGAATTTATCTGTGAAACACAAGGGCTCCATCAATTTATCGAAATGTTTCATGTCTTCCTTGCCCGTTTAAGCATTCCCCGTGGCTCCTCTCTGTTGATTTAATTTAAATTCATTAATCTGTCATTCTATAATACGACGTCTCTTACTTCTTCTCACTCTTACCAATACTATTACACTCAGTCTTATCCATTGAACATTGATTTGAGACAGTTTTATCAAATTTAATACATCTTCTGTAAACCCTTTCAAATTCCAATGCTTTTGTAACCTTTTTGTAATATCCATGAACCTGATTGTTGTCTACATTCATTTCCTCAAGTACACTCTGAACACTATTATTATATCAACTGAAACTCTCAGAACTTCAACCGTACTGTCTGCTAATTCTTATATTTTTAATTTCCTCTTAAACCAAACTATTATTGTCCAAATATTTGATTCAATTTGAATGTGAATATGTGATTTGTAACTTTTAAAAAAAGCTACTAATAACAATTATGAGGAAAGTTAGCATGCTCATCATCTTTACCTTAGCGTGAAATCTATTAATTAATTGTGTATTAATATTAATTATCATCAATAATACAAATAATTAATATTATGCACATTGAATTTAATTCAAATGGAAATTATGAGTAAACCAACAGCTCCGTTCCTACTCGACACGTGTACATGTCGGCTATTATGGAAACATTTCAACCCAGCCAGTCATATGAAGAAAAGTTCATCCCAACAAATGAATTAATATTTCGATATATTTTGACATGGCTACTCGTCTCTATTTATATAAAGCAAAGGTGGCGGCTTCTTTGTCTTCACATCAGAAAAAAATGGGCAGAGCTACTAGTTGTTCTTCATCCTCTACCGCCAGCAGCACGCAGCTAAGAAAAGATCTTAGCACAGATCTAAGGCTTGGACTTAGCATTTCAAACTTTCAACAAGACGCCCCTAATTCTTTGCCAAGGTATGAAAAATTAGTAATTATTAAGTGTCGAAAATATTGTTTTTAGGGTGATGATGAAGAATTAATTAATTTGATGTTAGGGTGAGGGATCAAACATCAGATTGGCCACCAATCACGCCGCTTCTAAGAAAGGCACTTGAAGTAGAGGATCAAAATGAGAGCAATAGTGTTACTTTCTTCGTGAAAGTTTACATGGAAGGTATCCCAATTGGCAGAAAACTAGATTTATTAGCCCATGATGGTTACCATGACTTGATCAGAACTCTTGACCATATGTTCAACACAACTATTCTCTGTAAGTTTGTATTGTTAATGGTTTATATATGTATATGTATGTATGTATTCATTTAGCTAGTTTCGTTAATATTAATTATTGGTTATTCTAATCAAAACAAGTAATCGCATGGTAGGGTCTGAGGTAGAAGATGAAGCACATTCTGAGAAATGTCATGTGTTAACTTATGAAGACAAGGAAGGAGATTGGCTGATGGTTGGGGATGTTCCTTGGGAGTAAGCTAGCTTTACCTTTAGCTTTAGCTTTGTCCAATATTATTCCTTTTTCTTGTAAAATAGCCCCATGTCTAGCATAAAATTAATCAACCTGCATCTTTTCAAATATTGATGATTACGCAGGCTGTTCTTATCAAGTGTGAAGAGATTGAAGATCACAAGGGCATAGAAGAAAGGCTGACTTTGATGTTTTATAACAATATTGATATATTTAGGCAGAAACGTATTGCTGATGTATATGCTTAGAGCAAATGATACGTATCAAGAATTAATAGTTCTCTTTTTTGGCTGTAAATTTTCTGAATGATTATGATATATATGTAGATGATAATTTATCATTACATGTAGTTTCAGAACAAGCTACTCAAATGATATTAGGACTTGGAGAGAATTGATGACTATTTTCAGTGCCTGAGAAGCCGTTCTTCTCCGATTCTATTGTTACAATGAGTGCACTGCATGTGGCTCCTACTCTATATATTGGGAATAAAAGTATCACATAATTTGTGTCTTTTTGGAGCTACTAGAGAGAGGAAGAACATTTTTCAAGGAGACAAATCGAATTTAATAATCCTTGGTTATGTTACCATCGCAAATCATCGATCTGCACACCAATTTACATAAACATGTGTCCAAGCATGGGCATTAATTTGCATATTGAAATATCCATCTTTCAATAATATTGTACATTTTAAATCTTATCTCAAGAATAATAAGAGTAAGATTCAATAATAATTTCTTCGCCAAAAGAGAGCGATCGAATTGATTCTTTCCAAAAGGAGAAGTGTTGCTCTTGGATCTACAGTAATGGGAATTCCAGTTCCGCAATTGTCGCTTAAACCAACCTACAAATATATCGTCTTTAAGTCTTTCATACAGGAAGCCTTTACTATTGGTGGTGTTCCAGAACTGAAGTTCCCCCTGTAAATCAATGGAAGAAAAGCTCTAATATCTAAGACCAATAATTATGATGGTGATTTACAAGTACAACATAAATATTCTCTTCACACCGCACTGCATTTTTATAAAGAACAAGCAGCGGCTACTTTGCAATAACTTACTATTTTTGTTAATGGATTAGACAGCAACCGTATCTTATTTGGAACTTTAATTCCAACAGAATCAACTTTTTGTTGCTGTCTGGGATTGGGATTGAATGCGACTGCTCAAACTCATACACCAACAGCATCAATGCTCTACTCGTTAAAAGAAGCAACAGAGCCAGGAGTCCTAATGCACCGTTTAAATTATTCTCCATAACAATTATTTAAAAAAAAAATACTTCCAAGAAAGCAATTTAATAATTGTAAATTCGTCTTTTATTTCAAATTGAATTGACTATCATTTGGAACTTATTCATCACATGAATGTTCTTGAAATTGGAATTGGAATTCAAATATTTATAGGGTTAAGGACATATACTTCCTCAGGGTTTGTTGAAATGACAGCATGTCCATCTTTGGTGTCATTCCCAACCGTTATTCAGTTTTCTGTTGCGGCAAAGCGTCTATGTTTAAATTGCTTTATCCCGATTACTTATGCTATAAATAACAAATCAATATTGGACCGTATGTTTATGTTTTTAAAGGTTTTTTGGGTCATTGATCTTGTCAAAGAACCAGACCGGCCCAACTTTCAATTTAATATGACGCATGGGCTAAACGGCAAATTTCCAAGGCCTAATTAAACCGCCAAATGAATATCTAATCAAAGTTTATTCACACAAAAGAATTGACCAAAAAATTAGTATGCGTAAAAGTGATTTTGTCATCTTCTGCTTTGACCTTTTCCTGTTATATAACTACTCCCTGGCATGAATTAAATAAATATTCAAAATCATATCTCAACGCGAATCCAGGAATTTAAAATGAAAAACAAAACAGAAAAACTTTTGCACAGCGTATTGATTGTTTCCTGAACATTATTACAAAAAAGTAAATTACACTAGTAGCCACAGCATGTCAGCCTGTTACCAGTAAGCTATTATTGGATAATTAATTAGAAAATCGAAAAACAAAGAGCTTCTGTTTAGAAGGATTTCTGATTTTCACAATCCAAACTAGGCCCTGAATCAACATTAAACAGTGTAGCATATCGCTGAAAATATCCAATCCGATCGTTAACTCCTCCATGGTTGGCAATTCCACACTCAAGTCCGCCGTTGATTATGTTAGTGACCAACCCATATCCAGCTGTCCGATTAGCTGCTATATCAGCTTCTGTGGGACGATATTTTCCTACCATCACATTATGGCAAGATGGCTTTGGCTTCTGCTCTGTCATCCAAAACCAGAGAGCAGTTTTGAATGCGATTAAAGAGTTATTAGCTACGATTTCTGGGTTCTTCAACCCATCAAACCCCAAGGCCTTTCCTGCTGCTCCATAGTTGTAGTTCCTGCATGCCACAGTTTAAGGTACGCACAAGCTAGTTCGGACACGACGGTTACAAAAAAAAAAAAAAAACATTTATAAACTCTTTAGTCAAACCCAAATTGTGATTGTTGAAACTCCAATGACAAATACTTCTCACAACTTTCCTTTACAAACGTGACGTGACAGCTCGCATTTGGTCAGGGGAAACCCATTGTTAATTGATATATCGCGTTTGTGAAAAAAAAGTTAGTAAAAAATGTTTGTCAATGTACTATTAACTTGACAGATTGAACCGAAATAGCAACTAAATCCTAGTACTAAACAAAATCTAATTCAATTGCAAAATAAACGTGTAGTGCTTAGTTTTTTTATGTATGACGAGAACCAATGTTCTAAATGTAAATCACTTGTTTATAGGAAACAAAAACAAGAACCACAACAATTAATATATGAAACAATGTTGTATCAATTAAACTCCAACAATTTATTTAAAAATCCAAGCAGTTTCCTATAAATTTCTACATCCACCACCACCAATAGCCAATAACATGGATTCTATCAAACGCATAGTCTATAGCTGCAAGCTAAGGCAAACTCGAATCATTAATACTGGCATGTGCATTTTTGTTGGCAATATTGTCTCAATACAGTGCATACGCTTAATGCTTGGCAAGTGCTTGTTGTCTTTGCAAGCATTAAGGCAAAACCAAATTCGACCGGTTCTTTTTAATAATACACTAATCTTTGTAGAGTAAACGACATGTTCCCACCCAAGGTTTAGCAAAATCCTAGGTTGGTACCCCTGATTTTGTAAATTTCATATTCTCACGCTTAAATGGACGTCGTTAGTGATGGATAGGTCCTGACATAGGGACAAAGGGCACTTTTACCAAACTGCCCTTACACATTCTTCTTCATCATCTCCCCTTCCACCATCCCACGAACCCCTATCCTCTTCTCAACAAAACACACCCCACCACCGGCCGTCCCCACTCACCATTTGCTGTCCACAATCTACTCTAGGGGTCGCACGATAGTCGTACTTTGCGACGTTTCCCTCTACAAATAGTCAGTTTTTTCCCCTCCGCACGACAGGGGCAATCGTGCGTAGATGTGTTTGGGTGGGTGAGGTTTTTTGTCGAACAAGTAGGGGGTAGCTTGAGAAGGCAGGTGGGTCAAGGTGGTGGTTATGGTTGACAAACAACACACAATCAAACTCCCACAAACTTCCACAATCAACACACTTCCACAAACGACACACAAACAATAAACAAACTCCAACAAATCAACAAGCAATCAAACTCCCACAAGCATTCCTACAACACAAAACTCCAACCAGCGGTGACAGGGACTCGCGCGATTGAATGTGCGATCGACCACGGCAAGGCAAAGGGTAGTGGGGATGGATTTGTGATTCGTGCATCCATCCCTCCCGTTTCAAGACTAGACACTGCCTGGCTTGGAGATCCCGGCCGTGATTGCGACAATCTCGGTTGGGATCTCCTGGCTAACGGTGGTAGAGGGTGTTGATGATGCAGCTAGAACTCAACTCCACCACTTGTCGCCGACCAAAGAGAGGAAAGATAAGAAGAGAAGGAAAGGGAAGGGAAGGGAAGGGAAGAAAGAAAGAGAAGAAGATGGGAGGTCTTGGTGAAGAAAGAGTGTAGAGAGAGGGAGAAAACGAGAGCAACAAAGAGAGGGAGAGGGAGAGAGAGAGAGAGAGAGAAAGAGAGAGAGAGCGCCACAGTGAAGGAAAGGGCCATTTTAGCCTTTTAACAGTTAAAAATATGAAACGGCATCCATTTAAGGGTGGGAATCTAGAATTTATGAAACCAAGGGTACCAACTTGGGATTTCGCTAAACCTTGGGTGGGAACATGTCGTTTACTCATCTTTGTATTAGATGTTGTAACTCATACCGTATCTTTCTAGGCTTTCTAAATAATAGATTACATGAGATGAGATTTCTATATATAGCTATAATACCGTATATGTTTGTATTGTATTCTCATCTCAGGGCACTATTGGGTCTTAGTTGCCGAAGCAAAACAGATCATCACGTAAATCAGAATTTTAAAATTAAAATTATACTATAAGATTACCACAAGAGAAATTAATAATTTCAAATGCATAGAAATAACGATTTTCAAAACTTGTACATATAATCCATCGCAAGAATAACATAGAAGGTTGAAAAATATTTCAATGAAAAACAATATTATCATCATGAAAATATATCTTTAGATTATGAAGGCCTGAAACTTTAGGCTTCATTTGTTACACTCTTGGGAATACTAATAATGGTATTCTCAATGAAGTTAAACAGTAAAATTGACTTATTCTTAAAATATTATTATATATTATTCAATTTTTTTTAAATCCTTTAAATTTGTTAATTTAACTAAACACCCCTAAATATTTTTTAAAAAAATTATAAAAACACCCCAGCAACCTCCGACGGTGGTAGCCGGCTGTCCGTATTTAATGGGTGGGTTAGAGGTGTTTTTGTTAACTTTTAATATTTTATTATAGGGGTATTTAGTAAATAAATAAACATATGAGATATTTTTGTTAATTTTCAAATCCTACATTGTAATACCCACCAAATTTAATTTTTTTCAAAATATTATTGTAAAAAGTATCAGAATAATAAGCCAAAGGACTCTTATATTTTAACTTATTTTTTAATTAGAATAAAATGAATCCAGATTATTCTCGGTATTGTCATTTGTCATACGAATCCCCTGTATGCCAGAAAACCCACAATTAAACTGCTGGCGTCCAGCCCAATGCTTGTTCAAAACTTTAGAAAGGCCTACAGGCCCATATAAGATAGTCCAACCCCAATTCTTGTCCACTATGACGTGCATCCTTAATATTAATTAATAATATTAATTAATAAAATGGTGCTACAATTTAGAGGTGGAACATATGGGCCGGTTAGGCGGGCCAACCCTAACCGGCCGCCCCAAAAAGAGGGCTCAAACGGCCGCCTTCATGGCGGGCCGGGTTGAGCCCAACCCGCAGCCACCCCGGGCGGCCGGGTTACACTAAGGTAACCGCGGCCCGCCGGGTTGCATTTTGGCCTCTTTCAAAGAGGCCCGCAACCCGGCGGGGTCTGGGGGTTGGCTGTGCCAACGGCCAACCCGCGGGTTGGCAACGGCCAACCCGGGTTGGCCCAAAAAAAAAAAAAACAAAATTATAATATTTTTTATTTTTTCAATTACACTTTTACCCTTGAAATCTAGCCGTTTTATAGCCGTTGGAGGGGTCTTTTTCGTCATTTTTTCCCTATTTTTTCTATAAATTGGACCTAAACTCTCATATTTTTCTCACAACTCAAATTCTCTCATTTTCTCATATCTCTATTCTCAACTCTCCAGTCTCAATATTCATTTATTCTCTTAATATTTTTGTTATCAATTTGCTCTATTTTAATTTTATTAGGTTTGCAATTTTCAATTCATATTTCCAATTTCCATATTCAAATCTCTTTCTTAATTTTTATTTCTTCTACATCATTTTTTTTTCAATACAAGTCTACAATGGATAGATATTTCTCTCCATCAATTCAATGAGGAAGAAAACTATTATCCTAGTCCTAGTCCCGCTGATTTACTATGAATGCAGGAGATCAAATAGTCCCGCTGTCCCAATCCCAGTCTCAGAATCGATACACCTCAAAATATGGCGTCGATTCCAACAGCGCCCGGTTTCTAGAAGTCGTCCTCGTAAGTCGTCTCCTCGTCCAACTTCATCTCAAGCTGAGGCGGGATCATCAACCGCCGTCGAAAGCGAAAACAGACACACATCAGACGTTTGGCGCATTTCGACAGTTTTACGAGACAGAAAATGGCGTAAGTCAAGAAAGCAGATGCAAATATTGTGCAAATGTTTATAAAGCTGATTCAGGTAAGGTATATACTTTAAAAAGGCATGCTAATAAACATATAATCAAAATGGAATAGAAACCAATAAATAAATAACTAATATGGGACTACTTGGCGTTATAATTCTGATGTATAAGGAACAGTTAGCTTTATATATTGCTGATCTGATCAACCTATTAATATGGCAGAAGATAAATATTTTGAAAGATTTGTTCAAAATTCATTTTTTCCAGGATTTAAAAGTTATTCTAAAACTGCAACAGAAATGATTTAATAAAATTGTTTAAAAAAATGAAATTAGAATTAAAAATAAATTTCATACTTGTCATATGTGTGCTTTAACTGCTGAATTTGGAGTGGTAGAGCTAAACAAGATTATATTTGTGTGACTAGTCATTATTTTGATAATGAATTTAATTAAATAATCTTATTAGGATTTAGATAATGGATGTGGATCATAGTGGTTTAGAAATCTATAATAAAATTATTGAGTTTTAGAAGATTATGATTATTATAAAGTGATAAGTTTAACTTTAGTAATGCAAGTTCTCTAGTAAAGCTATAGAATTTTTTCAAAATAATTATCTTTTATATAATAATTTAAGTTTTTTCAAACGTGTGCATGCATGTTATTAATTAATTGTGAAAAGTGGTATGAAAACATAAAAAAAATATTGATAGAATTAGGGAACTTTAGCTTGGATACTAGTAGTAATAAAAGAAATGCTGAATTTCAAGAAGCTTGTATAAAATCAAATATGTCTCCTAGAACTTTTGCATTAGATATGCCTGTTAGATGGAATAGTACTTATTTAATGCTGTATTCATGTTACCTTATGCTAATATAATTAGTTATTTGTAGCAAATAAAGAGGTCTCATCATTTGGTAGAAAATGATTGGAAGATAGCTAAAGTATTTCTTCTTTTCTCAAATGTTTTTACCAAGCCACTTTACAACTTCGTGTGTATTACCCTACTAGTCCATTGGTAATACATGCAATTATAAAAATTTCGAGTTTTTACAAAAAACAAGATGATGAAATTTTACATGCACCAATAAAGGCAATGGAAAAAAAATTTTTGAAATATTGGAGACCGTTCCTTTTCTTTATTGTTTAGGTGGCTACATATACAGGTCTTTACATCTAGCATGCACAAAACAATTTACAAAGATTTCTTAACATCTAGCATGCACAAAACAATTTACAAAAATTTCTTATACAAAGTGATATGGCAGGAAATAAATGGAAGAGTGAATATAAAAAATTAAACTCATCATATTCAATCTTCCATTCATCTTCTATCACATTAATTGATATAAAAAATCTTTATAAATTTCTTTACAACATCTAACATTATTGATTGTATATAAAGTGATGTGGTCTTCCTAAGGGAACCGCCTGGCCAGAAGATCCCGGCTGTGATCGCGGCAATCTCGATTGGGATCTCCTTGCCAGCGGTGGTAGAGGGTTTTGACAATGCAGCTAGAACTCAGCCCACTTGTTGTCGGCCAAAGAGAGGAAGATAAGAAGAGAAGGAAAGGAGAGGAAAGGGAAGAAAGAAAGAGAAGAAGATGGGAGGTTGGTTGAAGAAAGAATGTAGAGAGAGGGACAAAACGAGAGGAACAAAGAGAGAGAGGTGCCACAGGGAAGGAAATGACCATTTTAGCCTTTAACGGTTAAAATATGAAACGACATCCATTTAAGGGTGGGAATCTGGAATTTATGAAACCAGCGGTACTAACTTGAGATTTCGCTAAACCTTGGATGGGAACATGTGTACTCATCTTTGTATTGGATGTTGTAACTTGTAACTCATACTGGATCTTTCTAGCTTTCTAAATAATAGATTACATGAGATGAGATTTCTATATAAGATAAATACCGTATATGTTTGTATTGTATTCATCTCAGGGCACATTGGGTCTTAGTTGCCGAAGCAAAACATATCATCACGTAAATCGGAATTTTAAAATTAAAATTATACTAAGATTACCACAAGAGAATTATAATTTCAAGTGCATAGAAATAACGATTTTCAAAACTTACATATAATCCATAGCAAGAAAACATAGAAGGTTGAAAAATATTTCAATGAAAAACAATATCATCATACTGAAAAGATATCTTTAAATTATGAACAGTGGCAGATTCAGGAATTTCACTCGATGGGGGCAAAAAATAAACCAAAAAAAAAAAAATAAAATAAAACCAACATATTCATACTTTTTTTTTTTTTCATTATGATGAGTTTCAACAAAGTTACAAATACAATAAATATCTTTAAAAAACACAACTTTTTGTAAAAATAAAACAATTTTTTACAATTGTCCTCGACGAGTTTTCATATTCTGAAAACGTTGGAATTATCTCATCATCAACTGTATCAAATACATCTTTCTCAATATATGTGACTAAGCAATCATTCACCCATTGATTTTCCGTTCGATTATGTAACCAACTTTTCACAAGATTCATGCAGAAAAAGTCCTTTCAATGATCACAGTCGCAACTAGTAAAACCAATGCAAGTTTCACAAGCTTATATATCAACGGATACAAAATGCTTTTTTAAACTAAACTAAAATCTAGCCAAATCACCAATTCTTCTAACTTAGCAAAATTCATCACAAGGACGTTTGCAATAACATAAGTCTTAGTATGGTTCTCAAGTGCAGAAAAATCAGTTGGATAAAACTAGGCAAAACGATCAACTTATGCTGTCAAAAGCAGAGAAGATACTTGGATCTAAAAATGTCATACAAAGAAGCTGCTCAGTACTAACCTTAGTGAAACAAATGTTAAGTTTTGAAGTTGCATATCTATCACTGTAAAAACAATTCAACTCGATAGTGATGCAAATTTTTCATGTGCCAACTCTTCGTTGTGGCCGCCTTCGAATTGCAAACATATCATTCATATTCAAAATGACAATATATGTTTTTGGAAAAATGAATAAATTTTACTCAACAAAGATTTTCATCCTTCATCTCTCAATAATTGTAACCGTTGTTTGGAGACGTTGACTAGGGCCATAGCATTTACCATGTCTTGATCTTTTCTCTACAAGCTTGTGACAACTCATTAGTAAATGGAAAATCAAAAGAATAGATTACATCTAATAGATTTAGGGGTGAAATCGAATCAAGTCGAGTATTTGGCAATTGAACTCAACTCGATCTCTATAGTACCGAGTTCGAGTTCAAGCCTGATCGAACCTGAGAAATCAAGTTCAAACTCAAACTCGGTACTTGAAATTGGAAATTGAGTTTGACTTCAAGTTCGTATAATCGAGCTTTTTTCGGGTTTAGTCGAGTTTTAATCGGGTTCAAGTTTGAACTCAATTTCAAGCTCATCTAATAGGGGTGCATTTGTAAATTTTATAACTTTTAAATTACATATAACTCCTATTACTTTAAAAAAGTCAACTTAACCATCGAGCTTGGAAATACTCGCGAATATATTGAGTCGAGTTTTACTCGATTAACTACTCAAACTTGACTCGACTAATGCGAAGTTGAGTTCAAGCCAACATCAAGTATAGTTTGAGTGGCTCGACTTGATTTTCACCCCTAAATAGATTACATGCTTCACCTCTTTGTTAAGATTTAAACCATTATGTGCAAACCCAACAGCTCTATTTCTTTTCATTTTCACTCCCAATAAAATTTTAAAAACTAATAGACCCCCTTGCATAAAAGTAAAATATCAAAGAATATGTAATAAATATTAAAATTAAAAACGGGTTTTACAAAAACAAAATCAACTTACTGTGGGGACCGACTAGTCCGTTTCAAAATCTCAAAGATTTATACGTTAAAATTTAAAATAAATAGAAAATCTGAATGTTTAAAAAATGAGTGGGGGCCATCCGTCATTCATTCCGCCCTGATTATGAAGACTGAAGATTTCTCTCTGGCATGAATTAAATAAATATTCAAAATCATATCTCAACGCGAATCCAGGAATTTAAAATGAAAAACAAAACAGAAAACTTATATTGCATAGCGTATTGATTGTTTCCTGAACATTATTACAAAAAAGTAAATTACACTAGTACCCACAGCATGTCAGCCTGTTACCAGTAAGCTATTATTGGATAATTAATTAGAAAAACGAAAAACAAAGAGCTTCTGTTTAGAAGGATTTCTGATTTTCACAATCCAAATTAGGCCCTGTATCAACATTAAACAGTGTAGCATATCGCTGAAAATATCCAATCCGGTCGTTAACTCCTCCATGGTTGGCTATTCCACACTCAAGTCCGCCGTTGATTATGTTAGTGACCAACCCATATCCAGCTGTCCGATTAGCTGCTATATCAGCTTCTGTGGGACGATATTTTCCTACCATCACATTATGGCAAGATGGCTTTGGCTTCTGCTCTTTCATCCAAAACCAGAGAGCAGTTTTGAATGCAATTAAAGAGTTATTAGCTACGATTTCTGGGTTCTTCAACCCATCAAACCCCAAGGCCTTTCCTGCTGCTCCATAGTTGTAGTTCCTGCATGCCACAGTTTAAGCCAAAAATATATGTAAGTTGACTTGATAAATGCAACAAAAATCTAATACGTAATTTTGTTATGTAATAGCAAAACTGAACTATGTCTTTAAAGAAATGTAGTGTTACCAAGATAATTGCATAGGTCCTCTTCCTTTGTAAGATTTGCCAGGATGACAAGGCCATTCTTTGTTGGTAGAGTCACAGTAGTCGCTTTGAGGACTAACTTCCTCTTTGAAGCACAAACCCCAAGCAAAGGGTCCATCAGGAGCAGTAGCCCACCCACCAGTGGTCTCATGGGATATTTGAGCAAGAAAAGCAGCAATTTCACGCTTACGAACAGTTAAACTTCCGGTGTTTCCGAATTGTGGGAAACATCTTGTTGCTTTTAGAAAAATATCGTACGTATAAAAATTTCTTGCGGGACATGCATTATCGTCTTTGTGTAGAAACATGGAATCAAATAGGTCTTTGCTAACAAGAGATGAGATGGGCAATGTCCTAGCTTCTAAGCATAGAAGCATAGAGACGAAGAATGAGAGGAAAAGAGGGGAAAAGGAAGCCATATTTGCCAATTCGCTTCTGGTGATTTGAGCATAAGAAGCTCGTCTTATATATTTGCACGTCTTATGAGTTGTCAGGCATGGGACTTGCAATTATGCATGAAAATGTCAGCGGTCAAGTTTTTGACTTTATTTTTTATTTTTTATTTTTTTGTGTTTTGTTTTAATAATCCTCTCATTGGTAAATTTATCCAAAGTTTTATAGCAAAAGAAAATAATTTGTCAGCCATAAGAAAATTAAAAGGAATAAAATAAGACCGTCTTTGACTGGTCAACTGTTACATTAGCATTAAACAGTTGACTGGGTGCGTGCGATATACATCCATTGTCAAAGTGGTATGTCGACACCGAGCATGTTAGTTTGGAATTAATGGATTCTTGGTGGTGGATGTAGAAATTTGCGTAAGTGGACCTCGTCTCAAGTTTTTGATCTAACAAAGTGAAAGTCCACCAATAGCCAATAACATGGATTCTATCAAACGCATTGTCTATAGCTGCAAGCTAAGGCAAACTTGAATCATTAATAATGGCATGTGCATTTTTGTTGGCAATATTGTCTCAATACAGTGCATACGCTTAATGCTTGGCAAGTGCTTGTTGTCTTTGCAAACATTAAGGCAAAACCAAATTCGACCGGTTCTTTTTAATAATACACTAATCTTTGTAGAGTAAACGACATGTTCCCACCCAAGGTTTAGCAATATTGCAGGTTGGTATCCCTGATTTCGTAAATTTCATATTCCCACCCTTAAATGGACGTCGTTAGTGATGGATGGGTTCTAACACAGGGGCAAAGGGCTCTTTTACCAGACTGCCCTTACACCTTCTTCTTCATCATCTCCCCTACCACCATCACACAAACCCCTATCCTCTTCTCAACAAAACACACCCCACCACCAGTCGTCCCCACTCACCATTGGCTATCCACGATCTACTCCAGCGGCCGCACGATAGTAGTACTTTGCGACGTTTCCCTCTACAAATCATCAGTGTTTTCCCTTTGCACGACAGGGGCAGTCGTGCGTAGATGTGGTTGGGTGGGTGAGGTTTTTTGTCGAACAAGTGGGGGACAGCTTGGGAAGGTAGCTGGGTCAACGTGGTGGATATGGTTGACAAACAACACACAATCAAACTCCCACAAACTTCCACAATCAACACACTTCCACAAACTACACACAAACTCCAACAAATCAACAAGCAATCAAACTCCCACAAGCACTCCCGCAACACAAAACTCCAACCAGTGGCAGCAGGGACTCGTACGATTGAACGTGTGATTGACCACAGCAAGGCGAAGGGTAGTGGGGATGGATTTGTGATTCGTGCATCCATCCCTCCCGTTTTGAGACCAGACACCGCCTGGCCAGAAGATCCCGGCTGTGATCGCGGCAATCTCGATTGGGATCTCCTTGCCAGCGGTGGTAGAGGGTTTTGACAATGCAGCTAGAACTCAGCTCCACCACTTGTTGTCGGCCAAAGAGAGGAAAGATAAGAAGAGAAGGAAAGGAGAGGAAAGGGAAGAAAGAAAGAGAAGAAGATGGGAGGTCTTGGTGAAGAAAGAATGTAGAGAGAGGGACAAAACGAGAGGAACAAAGAGAGAGAGAGTGCCACAGTGAAGGAAATGACCATTTTAGCCTTTAACGGTTAAAAATATGAAACGACATCCATTTAAGGGTGGGAATCTGGAATTTATGAAACCAGCGGTACTAACTTGAGATTTCGCTAAACCTTGGATGGGAACATGTCGTTTACTCATCTTTGTATTGGATGTTGTAACTTGTAACTCATACTGTATCTTTCTAGGCTTTTCTAAATAATAGATTACATGAGATGAGATTTCTATATATAGATATAATACCGTATATGTTTGTATTGTATTCTTATCTCAGGGCACAATTGGGTCTTAGTTGCCGAAGCAAAACATATCATCACGTAAATCGGAATTTTAAAATTAAAATTATACTATAAGATTACCACAAGAGAAATTAATAATTTCAAGTGCATAGAAATAACGATTTTCAAAACTTGTACATATAATCCATAGCAAGAATAACATAGAAGGTTGAAAAATATTTCAATGAAAAACAATATCATCATCATGAAAAGATATCTTTAAATTATGAACAGTGGCAGATTCAGGAATTTCACTCGATGGGGGCAAAAAATAAACCAAAAAAAAAATAAAAATTAAAACCAATCATATTCATACTTTTTTTTTTTTTCATTATGATGAGTTTCAACAAAAAGTTACAAAATACAAATAAATATCTTTAAAAAACACAACTTTTTGTAAAAATAAAACAATTTTTTTACAATTGTCCTCGACGAGTTTTCATATTCTGAAAACGTTGGATAATTATCTCATCATCAACTGTATCAAATACATCTTTCTCAATATATGTGACTAAGCAATCATTCACCCATTGATTTTCCGTTCGATTATGTAACCAACTTTTCACAAGATTCATTGCAGAAAAAGTCCTTTCAATGATCACAGTCGCAACTAGTAAAACCAATGCAAGTTTCACAAGCTTATATATCAACGGATACAAAATGTCTTTCTTAAACTAAACTAAAATCTTAGCCAAATCACCAATTCCTTCTAACTTAGCAAAATTCATCACAAGGACGTTTGTCAATAACATAAGTCTTAGTATGGTTCTCAAGTGCAGAAAAATCAGTTGGATAAAACTAGGCAAAACAGATCAACTTATGCTTGTCAAAAGCAGAGAATGAAATACTTGGATCTAAACATGTCATACAAAGAAGCTGCTCAGTACTAACCTTAGTGAAACAAATGTTAAGTTCTTGAAGTTGCATATCTATCACTGTATAAAACAATTCAACTCGATAGTGATGCAAATTTTTCATGTGCTCAACTCTTCGTTGTGGCCGCCTTCGAATTGCAAACATATCATTCATATTCAAAATGACAATATTATGTTTTTGGAAAAATGAATAAATTTTACTCAACAAAGATTTTCATCCTTCATCTCTCAATAATTGTAACCGTTGTTTTGGAGACGTTGACTAGGGCCATAGCATTTACAATGTCTTGATCTTTTCTCTACAATGCTTGTGACAACTCATTAGTAAATGGAAAATCAAAAGAATAGATTACATCTAATAGATTTAGGGGTGAAATCGAATCAAGTCGAGTATTTGGTCAATTGAACTCAACTCGATCTCTATGGTACCGAGTTCGAATTCGAGTTCAAGCCTGATCGAACCTGAGAAATCAAGTTCAAACTCAAACTCGGTACTTGAAATTGGAAATTGAGTTTGACTTCAAGTTCGTATAATCGAGCTTTTTTCGGGTTTTAGTCGAGTTTTAATCGGGTTCAAGTTTGAACTCAATTTCAAGCTCATCTAATAGGGGTGCATTTGTAAATTTTATAACTTTTAAATTACATATAACTCCTATTACTTTAAAAACAGTCAACTTAACCATCGAGCTTGGAAATACTCGCGAATATATTGAGTCGAGTTTTACTCGATTAACTACTCAAACTTGACTCGACTAATGCGAAGTTGAGTTCAAGCCAACATCAAGTATAGTTTGAGTGGCTCGACTTGATTTTCACCCCTAAATAGATTACATGCTTCACCTCTTTGTTTAAGATTTAAACCATTATGTGCAAACCCAACAGCTCTTATTCTTTTCATTTTCACTCCCAATAAAATTTTTAAAAACTAATAGACCCCCTTGCATAAAAGTAAAAATCACAAAGAATATGTAATAAATATATTAAAATTAAAAACGGGGTTTTACAAAAACAAAATCTAAACTTACTGTGGGGACCGACTAGTCCGTTCTCAAAATCTCAAAGATTTATACGGTTAAAATTTAAAATAAATAGAAAATCTGAAATGTTTAAAAAATTGAGTGGGGGCCACTCGTCATTCATTCCGCCCCTGATTATGAAGACCTGAAGATTTATATTTTAACCAATTTTTTAATTAGAATAAAAGGAATCCATATTATTTTCGGTTTTGTCATTTGTCATACGAATCTCCGTATGCCAGAAAACCCACAATTAAACTGCTCGCGTCCAGCCCAATGCTTGTTCAAAACTTTAGAAAGGCCTACAGGCCCATATAAGATAGTCCAACCCCAATTCTTGTCCGCTATGACGTGTATCCTTAATATTAATTAATAATTAATAAAATGGTGCTACATATACAAGTCTTGTATATGGGTCATGTTAGACTTACAAAACAATTTACAAAGATTTTTTATACAAAGTGATAAGACAAAAAATAAATGAAAAAGTAAATACAAAAAATTAAACTCATCATACTCAATCTTTCATTCATTTTCTATCACATCATTTAGTGTAAAAAATCTTTATAAATTTCTTTACAAGTCTAACATTATTGATTGTATATAAAGTGATGTGGTCTTCCTGATAATACCATCATCCATATTTCGACATTAACATTTATGGCTCCAGTAGTGGAGAGCGGGAGAGAGTGAATGCGTGGTCCATTTTAAGACAATAAATGGTAAAAGTGGGGCGTATTTCGACAAACACGGAAAGGCCCATTCCTACAGCCGCGAACTTGGATTGATTTAGATATTAGAGTAAGGTAGGAGTTAACTTAATGACAACCACTTCTTCTCTTCAACATCTTTTCTAAGCTAAAACAACCCACCTATTTGTTTTTATTTCTTTACTAAATCACTCCATTCATTTCATTTTCATTCACCGAATCCTACTTTAGCTTTCTTGCACTGCCGTGCAAATAATTCTCTATACAATAAGCTACCTGACCTCACAAATTTTAACTAGTTGACAATAATAATAATAGCAACAAAAAAACACTTGTCAAACCCACAATGTTGCCTTTTTCTTTTCCTCTAACAAATATAGCATTATATTATACATACCCCATAATGGTAGTAAATGCTGACTAGGTTTTCATTTTGTGTAAAGTGTTATCATCTTTACAAAGGAACTTTATCCACGACTTAAAACAAATTAAGTAAAAAATAATACTTTCCGTTAAATACTGA